CTGCTGGTCCTGCAGTAGATCTATATAAACGATTGGCGTATATCCCTTGTAAGGCAATCCTGGCCTGTGTATGTAGATAACTGAGTAATGACTGTAAGCGGTGAGTTTCATATAAGCGAGGGGATCCCTAGTTCTGACAGGTATTCTCTAAACACGACGAGAAGCATCCTACGAATTACATCAACATCAAAGACTCTTGACGAGGATAATCATCTTGGGATACACGTTCATCGCATCCGACGCAAATGCCATAGTTTTAGCGCATGGATGGTGACAGTTCTCTACTCCTTGGCCGCCTCCTCATCGGTGGCTGTTCTCCTTGCGCTTCAACGTCTGCATAGACAGCAGGCCCCGTCCCCCAACTAGGCTGGATTTTCACGCACACCCTATCACAGATGGCCGGCGAAAAGAGGTCAAATCCCGATGTGGACGAAACACAAGCAGAAGGCTCGTCCGACAGTCACAAGTCCCGGCGCATTGGACGGTCTACTTTTGACGCGCCGCGACCGATAGAGCCTGGCACCGACGGAGACGCGTATTATCGCGACTTATACATCAGCACGCACGACTACGCTGCGTTGGGCAAGAAGCACAGCAAACTTGGCGCGAAGTGATACATCCCTACCACGGACATGCGAGAACACAGCTAACTTCCCCTCAGACTCAGCGGAAACACTCTCGACTTTAATGACCCACATGCCGTCATCGCACTCAACAGCGCACTGCTGAAGGAGCATTTCGGTCTCCAAGTCGACTTGCCAGCTGACCGATTATGCCCACCTGTAAGCACAATCCTTGGCGCATTGAGCAAGAAGCTGACTGCTTGAAGATCGCCCAGAGACACAACTACATCCTGTGGCTCAAGGACCTACTCGATAGCACTTCGTACGAGCAGCCAGACCATCGCAGGGTTGTCGGTCTGGACGTAGGGACTGGTGCGTCATGCATCTTCCCTCTTCTCGGATACACACAACGAAGATGGTCCTTTTTCGCAACAGGTACCATTCCTCGCTCACAGGTAGTCTTCGCAACTGACTAGTGCAGATATCGACGAGAAGAGCTGTTCATACGCAAAACAAAACGTCAAACTCAACAATCTGCAAAATTACATCAGAGTCATCAGACGCAGCCCCGAAGAAAGGTTGGTGAATCCTGCGGGACTCGGGGTGGATCACCTGGACTTTGTGATGACCAATCCCCCATTCTATACTTCCGAGGAGGAGGCCAAAGAGTGCGAGCAAGCGAAGGCTACAGAGCAGCAGAATCGCTTTACCATCGCCCCGAACGAACAATTCACCGAAGGCGGAGAGGTCGCGTTCGTGGGCCGGATCCTGGAGGAGTCTTTCGAATTGAGAGAGCAGGTGCAGTGGTACACCAGCATGTTTGGCAAGAGGGCCAGCCTCGACGCCATCTTGGAGAAGCTTCAAGAACATAAAATCGACAACTTTGCGGTTACTGAGTTCATTCAAGGACCGAACTCAAAGACCAAGAGATGGGCTGTTGCATGGAGCTTTGCGGCCATGAGGCCTTGCAACAGGGCTGCGAGGGGCTTGGCAGCAGCTCAATGGAGGGGTATGCTTCCTCCAAGCACTGAGGCGGAGGTTGTAGAGTTTCCACTGGATAGGGGAGTTGGAGCGTTGGCGAACAATCTGCAAGAGCTGGCGAATTCTTTGGAGTTGATATCATGGGAGTGGGATCGGGAGAAGCTCGTTGGCATCGGCAGAGCGCGAGAGGACGTGTGGAGCCGAGCATGGAGAAGGAAGAAGATGCGCGAAGAGAGGGAAGGAAAGAAGCCTGAGGATATCACGACACCTGAGCAATGCGCGTTCGGATTTGAGCTTGCCCTCGAGGTCGGCGCGGGGAGGATTAAGGTCATCTGCCCGTGGAGAGAAGGACACTCCAAGCCACTTTATGACAGCTTTTGCGGCTTCGTAAAGACCAAACTGTCAAATCCGACTGAGAAAGGACCGATGAGTGATTGACATATAAGGAAGCGGCGAACCAAACTTCATCGTGGGCCAGGAAGAGAGGCGGTACACTGACCGCGGGCTATCCAACCTCAAACATATCCATGCTACTATGCGTCTGTGTAAGAAGTGCTGAGCCTTTCCACCCGTGAACTAGCTTGAAAAAGGGGCGATCAGGCATCTCGCAGCCTGTTCCGTTTCAGTGAATAAACCACACGAAAGCTTTTCGTTCAAATATTGTGGCGATTATGCGGATTTTTCTCTGTGAATCGGTGGTCAAACCCAGAAAAAGTGTCGTGAATCAGACACTAGTTTCAGTTGCCGAGAATTATAAATGGCAGTGATGGCCACCTCACCTGGATAGAGGAAACATCTTGAGTTCCAGGAAAGCATAAATACACAACACCAATCCCAGAAACATCTCCAGCAACCACAAACTTTGCCGAAATGGCCGACAACCAGCCTAGTAAACCAGAAACCGTTGTTGACGAGTGCATTCCCATGAGCCGCACCTGTCCTCACGGCGTCAATAGAAAGCACTGCGTTTACTGCTCACCGCGTCTCAGATTGTAAGCGAGGCAAATCTCATCAAAGGCATGGGAAAAGAGTGCCAGTAGCAATATAGAGGACAAATTGCGGGAGATGCTCCGCATAGTCAAGCGAACGAGGGGAGAAGCATCAAACTAGTTGACCAATGCCATCGGCTTGGAAGTAAGCTTGGAAATATTAGCACAATCTTTCATCACCACAGCGGGATATCACATTGACGTATTTATCTGCTTTGAAGAATGTCAACTCCAATTGAAACAAGCAAAAGGAAACAATCAACAAGCCAAGTTGACTGATCTGGTCTAAAAGAACAACATAAACAGTCCTACCATCTATCACACCAAGCCCAAGTGCCTCAAAGCAGTCCACATCCTTTGCGCATTGTTCCCCATCCCGTTACCCGCCAGCTGCGGCCCAATCGTCGCTCTCAACAAATGCTGATCGCGCGCATCCATCATATCCCACAGCTCCCTCAACACGTCCATCTCCGACCGCGTCTCCCGGAAGATCCTCGCATACCCTACAAACAACAACTGCGCGGCACCAGGCGGCATAAACGCCTCAACCCTCGGCATAAACTCTAACAGGAACTCCCCAATCGACCGCGCAAACATATCCGAACACCCCAGCGCGCGGTCCTGGTCCAGCACGCAGCACAGCAGGAACAGGTGCCAGTACACCTCCTGCACGACCTGCGCCCTGTTCCTCTCGTTCGCGAGCAGGAACCGCGGACGCGAGAAGAGGTCGAACTCCGGCGGGCCGCCGTACGGCTGCTGCGCGCGGCACATCATCTCAATGTATCGGAACACGAAGCCCGCCGCGCGGCTGAGGCCGTCGCGGAAGCGCAGCGGGTTGAAGTCCGGGGCTTCGAAGCCCGGGTTGTAGCCGCGCAGGAATTCGGGGACTGCGAAGTCGCCGCCGAGGCCGGGGACGAAGTTGCGCGTGCGCGGGAGGTGCTCGTGCATGAGGTCGCGGTCGACGAGGATGCGGCTGCCGTCGGGGAGGATGACCGTCACGCGGTTGCGGAGGCGGCCGTCTGGGCGGAGGGGGCCGTTCTGGTTGTTGCCGTAGGGGTGGAGGTTGAAGAGAGAGGCAAAGTCGAAGGGGCGCGAGGCGAAAGGTGTCTGGGCGAAGCGGGGGAAGGCGTTGAAGGTGTTGATGTTGACGCGGTTGCCGCTGTGGACATTGTTGTAGGCTGGGCCTGCGGCGGGAGGAACCCAGGGGAAGTCTGGTGGGTTGGGGTTGTAGGTCCATGGGCGGAACATTTTGGATGGCTGATAATATTTTTATTATTGTCAATGAAAGGTTGTTAGAATTTATGATAATGAAGAGAAGGCTTTAACTTTGTACGGTTTCTGGTGATGGTGTTTGGTGACACACGTATCACCAAATAAGACGGCACATGCTGCAGCAGATGTTTGTTGGCCTAACCAAAGGTAACCATCCGGGCTCACCGCCTATGGTTGGTTGGATGTGCTTGGTTCTGTCTTGCGGTGAAGTGATCTTTACGGTTGCCTACGGAAGGACTTCAGATGGCGCTTTCACGTCCATGCTCTCGGACCACCATCGATCTTGCGGTGTGATAGTAAATCCGCCTTGGGGATTCCAGATACGCTGAAGAAACAGAGCAACGTCACGCCGAGGTGCCTGAGAGTTAGATACGTGTTTTGTTACTGTTGTTCTGTTGAGCGTTCTTGATGAAAACTTCGAAGCGCGTCTTGCAGTTGTAGGGCATGTTCATGTAATTGGAGGAGGCATACGAATATTCACTGGAAACATTATGATCGTATGGACGCGACTATGTATTTTAGCACCTGGTGCGCGTTCTGGTATTGAAGCTACTCAAATGGCCTGCGACTATGTGTCTGCATGGCGTGGCTGGTTAAACTGAGATATACATCGAAGGAAAAAGTGTTCAGTGGACGTCCTTATCCTGAATGTCCATATTGACATTTCATCGGTCCCCTGTGAGTCACCCTCGGCATGGGAAGATTTACTCCTGCTTGGTCTCCTCGCGCATGCCGCGGGTGATGCGGCTCATGGGGAGGGAAAGCTCGCGGGTGACGAGAGTGGTGCCGGGCATGGGGTAGGACTTGGCGTTCTGGTACAGAGAGAACCTAAAGCTTGGTGTTAGACTTTTTGTACTCGCAAAGCCGCTTCTGAGAATACTTACTTGGGGGAGAGACCGGCAGTGTTGGAGTCGTAGACACCAGGGAACTTGGCAGTGGCTGTGGGGACCTTGGTTCCAGAGCCAGTGATCTTCATCTGACCGCAGTTGAAGTAGAACTCCGTGCCGGAGGGCTTGTGCAGAGCAAGGTGCTCGGGGCGGACGAGATAGTCGCCGGCAGCGAGGTCCTGGAGAACGGTCAGTTCAAAGTCTCTAGCCCAGCAGCGGGGAAGAAAAACGCACCTTGGGGACGGTGAAGGTGATGATGTTCTTATTGTTTACACCCCACTCCTCGGCAGCGCCAGTCAGGGGGAACTTGGTCGGGCCAGACTCGTAGACCTTGAACCAGTCGCCGGAGCCGTCGTAGCTGGACAGATCGCCAGAAGCCTTGCTCATCCAGATTTGGAGGGGGCCGGGATGCTGGATCTTGGCGCCAAAGCTCATCTGGAAGCCAACCTCGGAGCCGGCAGCCACGGTGGCAGTCTTGGCGGCGGCCTTGGCACCGGTGTTGCAGCGGAAGGTGTTGCTGGTCATGATGCTGTTGGACTGGGGCTGGTAACCCTGGGTGCTGGAGCGCATGTAGTCGGCGGAGGCGACGCCGTTGACGACCATCTTCTCGAAGAAGTAGTGGGCGGAGGCGGAGTCGGCCATGAGGGCCGCAACGGCGACGACGGTGGCGAGAGAGAACTTCATTTTGGTGGTTGTCGGGTGAGGTTGGTCGTCAACGAATCCGGATCGGTTGCAGGAAGAACTTGGACGACTTGGTCAAAAGAACGAATGGCTCGGCTGGCGAGGAACGAAATGAAGGAGGGTGAGATAAAGAACTGGATGAGGATGGAAAGAAATGAGAGCAATGGAACTGAGTTGAAGGCTTTAATATATACTTGGATGTTTCCTGCTTTATCCGGGAATCTCTCGTCTGTCGGTCAAGTCCACCTGCTGGACTTTCCCGAAGGAGCAGGTAAGATCAGTCTTAAGCTGAAACTGGATGACTGCGAATCGCCCTGAGCAGCGAAGAGCATTTCGTCCGATGGCCCCCCTGCCGTCATCTGAATACAGACAGATCGCCGCCAGCCACCGGTCGGAAAGGACGACCCATGAACACGGAGAGTTCTTAAATGAACAAAGATCAATATATTTGTTTCCGTGTAGAGTTTTCCAGCCGTATGCTTAAAGCACGAGGCGTGGGGGCTAGTCCTTATTCATTCCGTAGGCCCCAATCATGTAGTACCGGGCAAGCGCGCCTTTTGCCATTGGCTATGGCCAGATCCTGTCAAATGTTTATATGGGCACAGTTCGGACGATTCAAGTGGAGCTCCGATGATCTCGGGTTCCAAGACTGCGGAACGCCAACCGCAAGCTCGGCCCCACTGCGTGGCTGCTACATTGGAGGCGGGAAGAGCCTAATACGAAGTTACGGTTACGAGTTGATTACTCTACCTTAGATGACAATTGGATATCATACACCAGCTGAGCCTCAAGTGTGACTTTGCTCGACTTGACCTTTCGTTTCTCTGCATAAGGTCTGTATCAAGCCACCATCCAGGCCGAGATCTTGCTGTTCGACAGGATCCCTTCGATGATTGTCTGGATATAGTCATGATAAGTGCTCACCCCTTTAACCGAAAGTCGAAAAAGAACGTCCTCTGTGTTTACAATAGGAGAAGACTTCGACAGCGGTGATCTCGGGACCCGGTAGTTATCCGTCAACAACGTATGCCATACTAGTTGCACTCGGGCGTGCCTTTTCGATTTCGCAGTAAGGATCAAGTTGCGGGTTTGCGACCACGCGTTTTACATACATGAAAATATTGCGTGTACAATGGGGCAGCTTCTCGATTCAATATTTCACCACACTTGGCGCGGCCGCCCGGGCATGAAGCGAGGGTATCGCGTTCTCGGATTCATCAAGCAGCGACCCGAGAAGCACGGACAAGCGCGCGCCCCTGGTTAAGGAGGTTTCAGCGGACACGGCATGCAACGCCAGCACATGAGAGACCGATGATCTGACCCAGTGTTGGTTCCATACTCTTGGTCTGTCTGAATGTGTTCTGGGAACAAATAATCGGCTTGATGCTTCTGACGGCGAGTAGGGGATTTACCACCGTTATCTCGCGTTCCCTTTGATATTTCTGTCAGCTTCCGACAATTCTGACAGCAACATATTCAGGCAGGAATTTCGTAAGCTGTAGGCTATCTTGATCAAGACTGACAATTGGCTTCTCGGAGTTGCAGCGGACTTTCTTCAGTATGAGTTTTGAGGGTGTTGATTGGACTTACTCCATCCATCACAGGATGAAGTCATGCTTCTTCATTACCGTATCAACTTGTCGACATATTGCGCTGACCTCTCTGTACGATGAGGAAGGATCGGCTTAGGATTACAGAACCACCCCTCTGAGTGGCTAGACAGAGCCCTAAAGGCATGATTTCGGCGGATACCGACGTTAGCGAGTTGTATATCGTAAGACAGTGCCTAAGAAGAGCGTGGGTCACGTGGGCCGGCCGTCGGCGCATCCAACGGAATCGGTGTCCCCACCCGAGCGGACACGGGAGTGGACTTCGGACGAGTCGGGCCTGTCCAGCGGAGCAGAGCTGCCGGCATCCCATACAGGATGCGCCAAGACAATCTCCATTATCCGATGGGGGTTGGGTAAACGCAAGGACAGTGACTCAAAACGCACGAAATCAATGATTTGTCCCTGTTGTGGCCGCATTGAAGCAACGAGAATCAAGCATTGCGGGGTCAGGTCTGATTCCATCATTCGAGCAAAGCTTGAGTCACAATCGAACAAAAACACAATCATGAATCTGCCCAAAGCAGAAAATGAGGGGTAAACCAAGCACATTTACGAGTGCATCCTATTGTCCGTGACGCAAAACATGACAGCCGACGCCATCGAGACATCCGCGGCCGCGTAAAACATGCTGGTGATGAGCCAATCAGAATGCCAAATTGAATGAGTCAACCGGCCAAACGTCCGCCTAAAACGTGCCACAACCACCACAAACAGGATGAATTCTAGGTGCCTGGGGTCTGATCTGCATGTAAGGTACGATGAGAGCTTTATCGATAACGGCGAGGGCGGTGTTGGACGCCTTGGCGTGACAAGCTGAGCTTCCGTTGCTTGTTGCCATCATCGGGAGAGCCACTAGTGAAAGCGATGGCTTTTGGCTTGGGCGGAAATAAATTGGTGCTTTTCAGGCTTTCAGTAAGGCACTCGAAGGTGGAATACACCGCGGCAACAGCCACCAAGCCAAGAGTTGTCGCGCGGTTTGGTCAGGGGTGATGAAAGCAAGATGCAGCAAAGGATCGTTTGGGCCTGGTCATGAGAAATCCTACACACCTCCATCAATGGTTGAAGTATAAAGCCGGGCTGTCACCGCTGAATTGGTCGGTTTCTCAAATGAATCCTCTTATTCCACCCTCAACCCGACCTTGCACTGCCTCTCACATTCCATCATCAACATCGCAACCATGGACATCGAGAAGAAGGAGTATCACGTCCGTGATCTCCCCACGCGGACTGTCACCCTCTTTCCGAGTAAAGCTCAAGTCGTCCGCGACCTCAAACAACTTGCCCTCAAGGTGAATCCTTCCAACCCCTTGCTATTGGGCATCCTCTAATGCCAGCGCAGCCCGGCACGAACGAAGTAACCATCATCGGCCTCACCCCAACCGTCGACGACTCCACCATCAAAGTCGAAGGCACCGGCTCCGCAATCATATCAGACATTGCAATCGAGTTCTTGCCCAATGGCGACATCTTCGAAGAGGCGTACCCAGAGATCGACTCAGACCTCAGCGACGACGAAGAGGACGACGTCGACACAGACAAATATGAAATCCCGGACTCCTCAGCCCTCCAAGCCGCGCGCGCCAAAGTAGTCAAACTGGAGGACGAAGAAAGCCAGGCCAGAGAAATCCTCGACAGCGCCGCCAAACGCCTCGCCATCCTCGACGCGCACTGTAAAGTCCTCGACGAGAAGAAGAACGTCGACGTCGTCCAGCTCATGACCGCCTACCGCGCCGAGCGCGAGAAGGTCTTCCAGGACCGTATGGCCGGCACCGTACGCCAGCGCGAGAACAGCGCGCAGCTGAAGGCGGCCCGCGAGGAACTCGGTCGGCTGCTAAAGCTGAAGCAGAAGGAGGAGAAGCCACTGAAGCGGGAGCAAACTCTCGCCCTCAAGAAGCAGACTCGGGACAATGTGAAGAAGTGGCGAAAAGCGGAAGACCGCAGGAAGGAGAAGGAGCGCATCCGCCAAGAGAGAGAGCGCTTCTGGCCGAAGGTGTGCTACGCCGTCCGCGTCACCCTCGAAGCGCACGCGTTCACGCCCATGTCGTCCCGCCGCACCTCGGTCTCCAGCGACACCGCCCAGCGCTTCAACCCGACCGCCGAGACGGAGACAGAAGCCGACCTCACCTGCGACCTTTCCATCTGCTACATCACGGCCGCAGCGTCGTGGTCGCCCAGCTACGACCTCCAGCTCTCGACGACAAACAACACCGCCACGCTGTGCTACGACGCCAGCATCGCCAACGAGACCTCCGAGACGTGGAGCGGCTGCAAGGTCGTGCTGTCCACCTCGCAGACCGCCTTCTCTGGGCTGGAGCAGGAGATCCCCGAGCTTAAGCAGTGGAACATCAAGCTCGCGCCAAAGATCGGCGGCGGCGGCGCGGGAGGGAGGAATATTCTCAACAGCCGCGAGGAGAGAGCGCAGCGTGAGGCGTGGCGGAAGACGCAGGAGACAAGCACGCAGAGCCATGTCAAGCGCGACGAGCTGTTTGGCGTTGAGGCGGTTGCGTATGCTGCCTTTGAGTGTGTCCAGGAAGAGAAGGAAGAGTCGGACGATGAGATGGGCTTCGGGCTGTTTGACGATCTTCCGCAAGCTCCGCAGGGTGCGCAATTCGACAACATTCAGATGGCAGTCGCAAACAATCATGCCCGAAAGGGTCGCCAATCCGTTAGCTCGATGGTGGGCTCCGCAATCAAGAATGCCGCCCGTCGTAAGGAGTCTCACGATCCCATGCAGGAGTACAGCGCCCCTCCACAAGACCTGATGGACGCCGCGCTGGACTTTGAGGAGTCTACGATCGAGGAGACCGGCCTGACGACAACGTACGACCTCCCCGGCACCAAGACCCTGCCCTCGCGCCCGACGGCCTCGAAGCAGCGCGTCGCGAGACTAACCTTCTCCGGCGTGGTGTTCAACCACACTGTGGTGCCAAAGTACAAGCCCGTGGCATTCCTCAAGGCCAAGCTACGTAACAGCAGCAGACTGTCCCTCTTGAAGGGCGACGCAGGGCTGACGCTGGACGGGACGTTCATGGGCCGGACGACGCTACCGCGATGCAGCGCGGGCGACAGCTTCACGCTTGGTCTCGGCGTTGATCCGGCGATCGTGGTCAGCTACCCCGTCGCGAACGTCCGGCGGGCGACGACAGGGTTCTTTTCGAAGGAGAACAGCTCCGTGTACAGCCGCAGCATCACGGTCGCGAATACCCGCGCCGCGGCTGGCAAGCCTGTGTCCTTGCTTGTGCTAGACCAAGTCCCTGTGTCGGAGGACGAGAGGCTAAAGGTAGATATCCTCGACCCGAAGGGCATGCTTGTTGAGGGCGCGGGTGTGGCTAGCGGGTCGCCTGGTCGCGGAGAGAAGGAGGACGTCAAATGGGGCAAGGCGATTTCGACGTTGAAGAAGGGCGGACAGGTTGAGTGGGAGGTAAGCTTGAATGCGGGCAAGGCCGTAAAGCTGGGCCTGGAGTATGTCGTCGCCATGCCGTCGGGAGATTCTGCCGCGGAGTGTTAGGGGTGCGAGGGCGGCCGGGAAGAGGAACTGGCTCGGCCGCTTCTACTCCGAGCGTGTAGCCTCATGTAGGGATACCGGCGGGTGGATTGTGGGCCCCGATATGCCCGGGACTTTGGTAATGCAGGGAGCATCTCTTTTTAAGGATACTTGAACGTCGATCTTTTACGTTGTCCCATTTGGGAATTTGGCTGCTTGTGTTCGGACAATTTCTTGAATTCGAAGACACAGGGCCATTGTTCCGCATCATCCTTTAAACCTTCCGGAGAGGAACTCCATTCTCAACTATTCGACGAAGAACCTTTTGATTATGTAGCAAAAGCAAAACAATTCCGACCCTGATATCATTGAACAACCCAAACTCCCTCGTTTTGAAACTCATGGCATCTCTGATCTCTCATTTATGGCCGGCATCTCGTGGATTACCCTCGGATCATCGGGCAGCTCTGCGTGGTAATGGCCTTGCGGATAGTATGGTGAATTTGGCGTTCTAGGTGTGCCACTTGGGCTTGAAACCACGGTACTCATGCTCATGTCGGACACCGGTCGCTGAATACCCATGCCGTCAGAGACAGTCGAAGGGGTGTTTGGCTGCATGAGGTTGCGCTTCTCGTCGGGGGGCGCAAGCTCGGCGGCACCGCCCCCAGGGGCAACATAAGGAGCAGCTGGAGCGGCGGCGGCGGCAGCGTCCTGTTGTTGCTTGGCCCGGCGGCGGCGCCACATGAAGAAGAAGCCGGCCAGAACCGCGACGACCCCCAACGTCGACCCAACTGCAATACCTGCGATAGCTCCTCCACTCAATGCTGCGGCTGCCTCCGGCTCAGCTGTCGGAGTAGACGTACTCGTCGCCGTGGAGCCCATATCGGGCGCTGTCTGTGTACGCGTAACAGAAGTTTGTCCAGCGCCGCTGCTCTGCGGGCTCGGGTACGTAGGCTTCGGCTTGCCCGACGTGTTGACGGTCATGGGTACGCCGCCTGTGGAGTTGAGCGTCTCTCTAGCATACATCGCGAGCACTCTCGAGCCGAGGTCGGTGCAGAAGCCGAGCGGCGGCAGGTTTTGAATGGTATCTGGCCAGACGGTCTGGGTGACTTGAGGCTTATTGCTCTCCACAGGGCAGAAGTCGCCGCAGGTGTCGGGGTGGTTGCAAGCCCAGAACTTCTCGAAGCCTTCGTTGTGGGTGTCGTTGCATCTCACGAGGCCGACCCATGGCGACTTTCCTGTGCGAACGGTCAGCATGACGAAAGCTCTCAAGACGTCAGGAGGGCTTACCCATATCAAGGCCACCCTTCGGAGGGCAGTTGTTGTGCTCGTATGTCGGGTCATTGCAGCCATACTGGTATGTCACGCCGGTGGTGTTATCCCAGCAGGCCTGGGAGATGCAGTTGTCGCCGGCGAAGCAGCACCAGCTGGAGGCATAGTCCTTACCCTGAGACCTCGAGCCGTCATCGTTCTCGGTGAGGCACGGAACGAGCGAGGGATGGGCGGGAGAGTCCTTGGCGTAGTAGCACTGATTCCAGTCTTTGACTGGGCTCTGCGCTACGATGAGTGGCGCCGAGGCGAGCAGAACGAGGGGGAGCATCGTGAAGCTCGGTCGTGAGCGTGGTGTAGTGGGTATCGTGTGGAGCAGAAAGGACCGTGTCGAGAAACACGTGGAGGCGAGAAATTTGCGGACCCTGTCGCCTTCAGGAAACGAGATTGACCATCCGTCGGGGTCGGCGTGGTGGTGTTTCCTGGGGAGAAAACAAACTAGCGGCCGTTGACGATGAAGGAAGAACGAAAGTCGAGACGAGAGTTGTTGGTGAATGGGTCGAGGTCCAAGTCGAGGCGGTCGCGGCCGGTTCGAAGCAAAAAGGGAAGGAAAGAAGGAAGACACGGCACCTGCCCTTGAAAATGGACCCAGCGGCAGATCATTTCATTTTCCCTGCAACAATTTTCCAATAAAAGTCCCCCTGCCTCTCACCCCTCTCACTTGCCTCTCATTCTCAGCCCGTCAGCCCATCTGTCAATCTTTGCTTTTTCTCCGTCATGTTCCACGACCAACAGCACCGCAGCACCAACAAGCTGAACTACAGCCAAGCGTGTAAGCACGAGCAAACATTTCACAGCCCCCAACGGCCAAGCCGTAGCCTGCTCCCGAAGTAACACATAGGCTAGCCAACCAACAAGCTGCAACGACAGGATCTGCGGAGAACTGCACACGAGCTGTGTTCCCCGTCCGTGCCGGGGGTTTCTGATAGGCCCGCTGGCGGGGGCCATCCCCGACACTTACAACGCGGGTGCAGACATGAGAGACACGGAGAACGATGCCAGATTGGACGAAAACCAACTTGAGTTGAGCAGGGGTAGGGGGATTGAGCGGCCGCCCCAAGGGCTACGACTGCCTATCTGATCAACATAAAGTAAGCCGCCATCATGCACTCGTTGACTTCCCATCACGAAATACTGGGTTGAATGGCTGGCCTCTGGGGACCTTTTATCTCGGAACCTATTATCTCGTCAGGTCATATACAAGCCACGCTTATTTAATGCTCGATTATTACTGCCGACAGTGGCAAGGAGCGCAAATCAAAAGACGATATCCTGGGCTTACGTAGCTGAGAACTATCCGTATCACTATACATCAGGTGACGTCTTTATATGGATATGCCAACGTATTTTTCAAAGCCTGGGCACCTAGGTTGGTTGGATCGGCCGCATAACTCTGACCAGATTCTTGGGTCTGGCGGGTCAGCCCCATTGACGCGACCACATGGTCTTCCATCACTGGATAATTCTTGTCCTGACTCAAGATCTGCAGTTTTTTTCACCCCCAAAAAGATAGCAATCGTAACCCGGGCCCTTGGTGGAAGGAGCACTCCAGCAGGGCCGTTTCCGACCAACATGCTGCAAGGAGTCGCACTTCCCAGGAGCGGTAGCCAACGTCCATCGCGCCTCTCGCTACCTCGTGACAGTATCAAAGCAGCTGGGGCCTTTGAGTATGATCACTGAATGATAGTGAGAGGGCTATCAGAGACGTGCTGGACATCGTAAACATACCGGATAAGGAGACTCGGAATATTGAGGCTTTGCCGTCATAACCCGGCCGAGCCTGCAAAAAAGGTCGCGCCTGCCGTCTCAACTCTCCTTCCGACTCTGACGCTACTTCGCGTCACTACCCGTCAACGCATATCGACATTTGGGTAAGTTGTGTAAAATGTTTCTTCCTGCCAACGAGGTCAACCGTTTCGGGCATCTTTGACTTACTGCGGCTTTAAAGGCAACAGGAATGGATGAAGAAACATATGGATTGCCTCGCCGTCCAGAGCGCCATGAACAGCGGAAATACAGTTGAAGTCTGAACAACTGTAAGACGTGCAACAGATTTATGGATGCTTCTCAACTCAGTCGGGCCCTCGATTCGAAAGAGAATTGAGGCTATTTGCGCGACGGTCACTAGGTAAAGCCGTTACTCCGCTCCTGGGCTTCGCTCGTCTGTCGTCATTGAATTGATGTGAATATCAGATGAGGACGGGGCCACGGGCATTGGTAATTCCTATGTTAGGGGAGTCGTCGCTACCTGGTTGATATAGACCACAGGAACCGTCCGCCAAGATGGTTCGGATGTAAAGCCAAGTACGTTGGTCGAGGTGGATGTCTACCGCAACGAAAGGGCCGTGGGTTGAGCATACTCTCGACAGAGACCACGTTCCTTCACCATTGGCATCAAAGTTTGACGGAGCTTCGACTTAGCCCGTCCGTAGAAATCTTGAATTGCCCGCGTCGATATTATTTCAGCACCTGCAGTCAGAGAAGCAAGAGAGAATTCATCCCTCTGCTTTTGGTCTTACGGACTGTTCTATTGGGGCTTTAGGTTGTGTCCACCCTAAAAACTTCTGTTCGGGGACGTTTTACGAGTGCTCCTTCTCGGCGCCTCTTTGGCTGCAGATGTCTCTGGTTGTCTGTCGCCTGGATACATTGCAGTCGTATACTTCATGAAGGCTACGTAGGTAGTCTCTGCAAAGTTTGGTGTCAACACCATTTTGTTCTGGGACGTTTCTTTTCAGTGACATGCCCTACGGCTCTGAATACGCAACCTTCCATCGAGAAACTTCACTATGCCCGATTTTCAACCTATTCAACCCGCTCTCATGACATACGTGGCGATGCCGTGGAGGTCATCAAGATCGAAGATGAAGAGCACAGCCTTCTCAGGTTCCTTCGGCGTGGGATCAACAACGCATTCGACACAGAAAGCGGACATGTGCTAACCGAGACATCCCCACCGCAGTTACAACACGAGTGGAAGCATGACATACTGGGTCAAGACGCCATATAATTCATGTCCCATCTGGAAGACTTGCTTCGGTTAAGTGCTGTCAGCGCTGCCAGAAAAATGTTAATGTGGCTGCTTGGTAGCACGCGTAAGGTCATGTATAAATCTGGCCGTGGTACTGAAACCTACGTCGTAGTAGGTCTTCGAGAATACATCATTAGCCGTTCTATTGAGGCTCTCTGTGACAAAGAGCAAGGTGGGTAGATCAGTAATTAGGAACTCGTAGCTTAAGTAATCTCGAACAAAACTCGGCAAAACGCAGTTTTGGAGTATCGAGGAGAGAAATCGACATGGTATGCATGAGATTTCTGCCTTTCTGGAAATAACGATTACTGACCTCAGTGCCTACTAGCTCGTGCTACGCCTCACCAGTCAGGGCCTGAACCCAGGCCTCGCCCAGGAAAGAGTTATACGAGCGATTAACAACCGCATTATCAAGAACCTCAACAACAGTAGCACCCTTGCAGACGAGTCGCCCCCTAACGCTCAAAAGCGCGGTCGCGATACTAGCAACTGTAGCGATCGTCAACCCACGAAGAAGAAGGCGCAGGTAGCGTTACTGCCGCCTAGAGGGAACGAGCAGGCCCCAGGGTGAGACCATTCTAATGAGAAATAAACCTAACTATTTCCCTAGTTACTAACTAGGTTGCTCAAACCAGTAATAAGTCTTATGATAACCACTCAATTATTGATAATAACTTGATTATTAATAGTGACCTGATTGTTAATAACGGCTCTATCCCAGAGGACAACTCTGTCCTAGAGGACGTCTCCATCCTACAGGACGACTTCGACAATGTCAGCACTAAGACCGTCAGAGCAGCCACTAAGGCTACCAAGCCTCCAAAGCCACCTTCATATACAGTGGCATTATCTAACATTCTGGACAAGACGACTATGAGCCAAATGCATGCAAAACTCGTGCAGAATCTCACTGTGCTTCCAGTCAGGATCACTCGGTCAGCAAAGCAGGAGGTTATCAGCACCCTCAAGCTTGACAAGCAAGCCCTTGCTCTCACCTCTAGCTACTTCTCCCATCTGCGCGCACAAAATTCAACTCGTGTTTACGCTCTTCGCACCCATCGCATTTCAGCTTTTTCACCACCTTCAGAATCACAACAGTCACAGAAAACATGGAAGAGCAAGCCTTGTCAGAGGAACTCGGGTGCTGTGGGACGAATTGGGAAAGAGCGCCTGAGGTCAGTTGAGTTGCGACTTCCCGTTGCTGCTTCTCTCGATCGCGTCGCGTCGCTTCGGCTATTTAGCCACCACCACCTACATCAACTCTTACTTTCTCCCACCGCCAAAAACTCTTGTACCGTGAAAATCCTTTCGCCTCCAAACTGCCCCCGAGCCAGGGCGTCTGGTCTCCTACTTCCAACCCACTTCCAACCCTCTTCCAACCCTCTTCCACTTCCAATCCTCTGCCACCTCAAACTCCTCTCCTCCCAAACCTTTCTCACCTGCCACCTTCTTCGACTGTCAATTTTTTCCGCCTCCAAACTTCCAACTTTCCCTCGCAATCAAAATTCGATCGTCCCCAATTCCTTCCCACTTCATTTTGGGAAAGCCCCAGCCCCTCGAAAATGGAGGCCTTACCAGTGGAGACGATCGTGGAGATCATGCGACAGTGCGACAGTATCGGCGACCTTCTCGCACTTGCTTCTACATGCGAACGCTTTCAATCGACTTTCGACAAGTTCTCTCCTAGCATTCTTCAGCATCTCAGGGCTCCTGGCATCCCAGACTTTGATGACGCTCTCGTAGTGGTAAGACACCACCACCATTTTTCTCCCGTTGCAAAGAACCAATCTAACAAAGTTCTTTTCAAACAGGTCAGAGCAACCGCTATCGTCAAAGACTACTACGCCAAGGGAGTGCTACCACCCCAGCCCTTTCCCTTTGACCAGCTCGCGCACGGAAAGTCACCCGCGACCCTGATTGAGTACCAAAAGGTCGCCAACCTCATTGAGTTTCTAAAGTTGATTGAGGCTGAATTCGCTCACATCTGGCGGAAGTACCTGCCATACATCAAAGATGACCTCGATGACCTCCGGCGCTCATGGGAAGGCGTGTTCAACGACAGCATGCTCAAAGCCCTACTCATGAATGCTGCCTTGGCTGGGGAGATGGCGGAGCCTTTTTGGAACGCCGGCCAAAAACTCAGCCATCCTTCCGACACTGGTGCCAAGATCCTGCAGTCAATTGAGGACCCTGGAAGCCGTCATCTGGGAGGTAGTTGGCAGCGCGACGAGTCTGGCATGACTTGGGTCACGCGTGACCACTACGCGGAAGTCAAAGATTGGCTCAACGACAAAGACATTCAGTATCTCGAGACATACACCGCCTACAGAAATGACAGGTTCACGGGTCTCAGCAAGGATCTCTGCAACACAACCTTCGGCAAGCTACCAAAGCACTTCAGGCTCGAAAACAAGTCCGCCGACTGTTTTCTTCCTCGAGTGTTTCAGACGACCTTGAGGGACTTGCAAGACTATGCATTTTTCGAGCATCCCGTCGATCAAGAGAACCTTCCGTACTTTCAATCTAGGTTCAACAGCGATTCTCCGATCAAGCAGATGGTCGTTGCGATTCTCCACCTCGGTCCATTCCTGCCAGGAAAGCTCACTCGCCTCAGTCCCGAAGCTCATGCCGGAAGAAAAACCGTCGACTTTGTCCCATTCGGATGCTTCAACGTCCACACTTACGCATTCGACGCCGTTGAGGGGGACTATTGGGAGCCTGAGTTCTTCTGGGGACAGGTTGGTGGCATTAGTCTGCTGAAGGCTCACAAGCCCCACGGCGTTGATTCGGGAGGAAAGTTCGCGGACCTTACCGACATTCTGAGCTTCCATCGGGGAGATTTGGATTACATATTTGAGAAGAATGATGAAAAGTACAATTGCGGGTATGATCGTCGTTGTCAAGCCGAGGCCGACTGGGACACCCGGTGGAACAGGATCAGGTGCGACGGAGACATGGATTGGTAGGGTGTGGAACACGGTCACCGGAAAATAGCTTAAACACAGGATGGCATACAAGATTATCGATAGCTTCAACACATGTTGGTCTGCAGGACGTGTGTATCACGATGCGTCACGGATGGTCCACGTGATGTTCAATCTTCAATTCTATTTCGAATGAGACGATCGAGGTAGCGACTGACAATTCCATGTTTTCCAAACCCATCCATCCAACACTTTGCAAGTAGTAACACTGGCGCTATAGAAAATTACCCATCAAATCTATCTCTATCAAAATTCTTTTCACATCGGTGGCTCAACCTTCATTGCCGGTGACTTCCGTGATTCGCATCGTCTGGGCCTCCGGCAAGGCCTGGGGAATAAGTTGTTTCGCAAGCGGAGGTGGATCTTTTTGAAGTGCTCCCTCTGCAAAATCGTTAGTTGACCGTCCTTTGGTTTTCTGAGAAGACTGGCTCACCATGTTGTCTTTGCGACTGAATATTCGACCGCAATCAGGGTGCGGGCACTTGATTGTGGGCTGGTGTGAGCCCATATGGCGTTGGTAGTCTTTCCTCGTTGAAAAGCCAACGCCGGCTTTCGCGCAGGGCTTCTCCGTGCAGAAGAAGCACTTATCGTGGCCTCGGTAGTGCTTCCTCAAGTCGCACGCGCGGATGAACACCCGCGTCGACCTGCAGCCCTGGAACTTGCATCGCCAACTTCCATTCGCGTCGAGGTATCCCATGTGGCGCAGGTCTTCTGGTTCCCAAGTCTCCTCCTCGCGCTCTTCTGCTGGACTGGATGAACCCTCACTCGTACTCCATACGTCCCAGCTGGGGGGTTGGCCGGCCATAATGTTGGCTGGCGTGGGAGATGTGATCACCCGTCTGTTGGAGGCCTGGACCAGATGGCTGGGCCCGTACTGTGGTATGGGACCGGAGGTCGTATCCAGGTACGGCAAGGGCTGGTAGAGGCATACGGGATCTGGATGCAACGTGGATTGAAACCATTCTCCGTTGAACGGAGGCGCTGGCCCGAGGCTGAACGGGTAGGGCGCCGGTCGCGTCTCGACTTGTGGGAAGTATTCGCCTCCATTGAAGGAGTTTCGCTCAGTCTCAAATGGTGGTTCCATCTTGTTGACAGAATTCTTCGAGCATGCGAATCAACGGCAAAAACAAGCTTGAAAGAAGGAAAGAGATCAGCAGAGGTTGTCCTGTTTGTGGAACGGGGGAATAGCAAAATGTGGCAGAATGCTCCGAGTTAAAGACGAAACCAACCCGTAGAAAATCATAGATTTCCAACCCGTCGATGTATATCTGGGCATGATAAACTCTATTCTCGTAACCTGGGCCAATAGTGAAGCGGCGGTATAGCAGTTTGGGGTGCCGTTTCACCAGTACGTACTTTCTGTTGTTGGCCGACATTCCACAACTTCGAGAACTTGGCTTCACCCCGCCTGGGCCCTTTCATCGCCGAATGAACGGGCCATGTGGCGGTTGGTAATCGGCAGCCGCTGTGGTCGGCATTCGATTCAGCTGAGAGTCGCCTTACGAGCAGGTCGCGATCTTCCGCCGGGGCTCCCGGTCCGGAAACCCCACCATGAAGATTGCGCTGGGATCCCCGGCGCCCTGGTTTGACGTGATGCGCGTGCAACATTGCAGTTGGAATATGCCAGTGTCAGGGGCTGGGCAGAGTGCTGGCATCATAATCCCTGCTTCATTGCCCGCCTTCAACGATGTTGGGAACTATTCGGCGAGAGCGTGAATGGTGCGTAGAACCGCTCGGTAACCAAAGAAACGCCCACTGCGATGGGTTTGCGCGAATTCTGATCATCTTGTGGTCGAGTTGAAAATCCCGCTGTCGCATTCAATCTATCAGGCATCCGTTTTCGAACAGTATGCTTATTTTATCAGGTGCAAGCGCTGTCCGTGCCCGCCGACGGCGATCATGCCGCGACTCAACAATCAACTGTTCCAAGTCCCGCACCTGATATCCTTATTAAATAATTAATTGCAATAGAAACTCAAAGATATTCGACCGAATTTTCAGCCGGCCTCACCCGCGGCAGTTTGGGTGTCCCTCTTTGCGTCTACTGCGTCTAGATCGACATTCAGAATTCTACACGCTCGAATACATGAGACTAAACTTACATAGACGTGTAAAAGCGGTGTCTCCTGCATGTTTTGATAATGTGCTTACAGCTTGAGATTCAAATCATTTTTGAGAGTCCTGGCAATACACCTTCATTTCTGTGATCGGTTATACATGAGCCTTGACGGGTTTAAGCATTCACGGATCCTTGCGGATGTATGATTGAATATTCGAGGTCGTAGATCAAAGTTGGGGCTACTACTACTGTTTATGATGGCAAAAATCCCCGACAAAGGCAAAAGAGTTTTTCAGTTGCCTATGATTCAATCCAAGAGGGTCAACCTATCCCGGCTTATTCCTAGCGAGAGTTGGGAGCGTCACATTGTTTTCATCCATTCCCTGATGGAAATCCCTCTTTCTGATTCATCCTACCCGTTAGAACCTTGTCAGGTCTCCAAATGCAGCTTGCTGACTTGAATTTCTCCTATCTTTTCAGATTGAAGACGAAACAGTACGTGAACGACCTAGCTGATGGAACCTCAAAAAAGACTCAATTTAAGAGTTCGCCCACAACCGCACAGTTTGGGAACGGGGTCTGCTCTAGTGTGGCACGGCGCTGCCGTGGTTGGTAAGAAGTCTCGGCAGTTGTGGTCCTCGTCCGATATCCGGCAACAACGGCCTCACAAATCCGGGTCCCGGGGGGCCTATGGGTCCGGGCGTCCCCTCAGAAAGTAATAACAGCCTTCTCCGTCAATACTACGCGACCGGTTGGCAATGCGACTGGCTCCTGGAGTCCTGAAAGCTGTCAAACCCCTCCCACTGATTGACCGGGGTCCCTGTCGAAATCGGTTAGCCAAAGTTTCGAGTCGTCTAGCGCGTGGCGAGATTCGCCAAACTCGTGATCTTAGTATGTAAACCTGGGCAGTTATTTCCCATCGATTTCCGTTCAGAGAAAAATGCCGCGCACTCGGTCCTGAATTAGGTATCACTCGTGTCAGTCAAAAAGCTCTGTTCACTGAGCGTGAGCGTGGCCTGGCTGGTGGACGTTTTGGAAACTCCGGGCAACTATGGTCGACGCGTACGTACTTGAATGAAACACATCAAAGAAATATGGACGCACCAGCGGGAACTAGAACGGAAAACAATATTGCCAAATGGTCTTTTGTGTCAATCTTTCCGGTATGAAGATATCAATGCCGGTATTGGAATCGTGTTCGACCACGCCGACACTCGTTGGCAAAGGGAGGTACGGTTCGGACGAGGCTTTCACGAAAGACACTATGGCATGGCAACTTCACAAAAAGGGGTCGCAAAATATTGACACCATGCTCCTTGGTCAAGCTCAGACGCTAGGGGGGGAAGGTTTTAACCAATTCAGACAACTCATGCGATACAAGGCACGGCAGTTCTCAAATCATCAAGTCCGCCTTTGAGCTGGGTTTACATCTGCATACTACGCTTCTATCAACGGCCTTGGCAGCCAAGGTTTCAACAAGTCGGCATTTCTATCATCGTACATCCAAAATACGTGACGTGCGACTTCTTTGTATGTTGAATGTATAGGCGTATATCACAACCTCAGATTGGATACCCTGAACAAGAAGGATCCAGAGAATGAAATGCGCACATCATACAAATGAAAACCATCCACGTTCAAGCTCATTATGTTACAAATTTTAGAAACACCAGAAGAATTACACGGGGGCAACATGTAATCTTGTTCTCCCTCCATAAATCACTGTTCGTAGGTAGACACCAAGATGCAATACTCTGAATCGGCGACAGCTGTCAGGATAGCATCCGCATTCATGATACACTCATAGAAGTTTTAAGACCAGCATCAACCCAGTATGGTACTCTAAAATAATACTATCATGTGTGGTGACGTACCCGAGGGGATATGAGGCCTTGTTGCTGAACCTCAAACAAGACCAGATTTATAGGACGACGCATTCAAAGGAGGTCGGATTTCTCCTGTAATAATTTTCACAGGCTCGTTCAAGTGAGGAGAGAAGAGCAAAGGATGAAGCTACTAATCAAACAAGGGGGAAACCTTTTCGAGAGAACACCATCACCTTGACTCGATTTCTTTATCGATCAGGCGCGATAAGCAATTAAGGAGGCTATAACGACTTGGCCGTACCTACTGCAGCGGCTTGTGCAAGACCTCAGACGGCCCATTTGCTGATGGAATACGCCAGTGCAAATGAACATCTAATACGTATCAACTTTGTATCTACTTTTCCGAGCCAGACAATTTACCTCTTGGGATGGAATAAGATCCAATCAACTTCATACCTCAGCTCTGCTGAACGTGACCTGACCTGCATATTGGTGACCGAAGACTGCCCGGGGCATTCATTTCTAGTCATGTTCTAATGATGTATTATGAAAACCGAGCAGGAGGAAGTAATAGCACAGATGTTGTTCCATATGTCCTTGCTGATCTCGAGGATTGGGCTCTTTGTAATCAATCCGACGTTTGCCACCGTCTCATTCGCAATTATTCATATTTCCCCTTGTGGATTAGGAGCCTTTTTCATCACCAGTGGTCAGATGTAGCACATCCATTCTCTGTCAAAATATTGTCCTCTTTGCGTGAGCGGTCGGTTCCGTAGGCCAATCGCCAATCAGCAGGCCGGCGGGATACCGTATGCCGAGTACCGAGTGCCGGATACCCACTGCTGGAACAGGACGAGGAGCGGTGTGGACCATGATTATCTTGCAGAAGGAACGCCGCAGAGGATATATTACTGGGCTGTGAAGAGAACAAAAGAATACTATCCATGCTTTTACTTTGTCTGTTGCAGCCGCGATACTTGCGACATTAGGTATTCTTATCGTGGGAATCAGCCAAAATGCCTTTATCAAACTTTCACGTACCACCGTCCACCTCGACCGTCAATGTCCGAGTCATTGACTCGACATCCCAAGTTGGCTGTAGCATCGAAGGTATGGTGTCGCATACTATCAAAGGTCACACCTGGCTTCAATGTCCCGCCTGTGTCTTTCTGGTGGAACACCCGTCTTCGGGTCGCAAACTTCTTTTCGATCTCGGAGTACGAAAGGACTTCGAAAACCTAGCCCCGCCCATTCAGAAATGGTTCAAAGAGAGCGGCACGACCTGCAGCGTCGACAAAGACGTTAGAGATACCCTCGAAGAAGGTGGGATTCAACCGGACGAAATCGAAGGCATTATCTGGAGCCACTGGCACTGGGACCACATCGGAGACCCAAGCAGATTCCCGAAAAGCACTACCTTGATAGTAGGACCGAGTTTCAAGAAGATCCTAACACCGGGCTACCCTACCAACCCGGGCGCACCTCTCTTGGACTCCGACTTTGCCGGGCGCGAACTTCGTGAACTAAGCTTCGCCGAATCCTCCATCAGAGTCGGCTCATTCCCCGCCATTGACTATTTTGGCGACGGAAGCTTCTACATCCTAGACGCGCCAGGCCACACCGTTGGTCATGTCAACGCTCTTGCGCGGGTGACGACCAATCCAGACAGCTTCATTCTCATGGGTGCGGACACGTGCCACCACAGTGCCGAAATGAGGCCGTCCAAATATCACCCGCTGCCCGACGAGATATCGCCACATCCGTTTCTTCGGGGGAGTCAGATGCCTTGTCCTGGCGCACTTTTCAAACCTATTCTTCAGGATGAAGATACGACTAAGCCTTTCTACGGCGTTCATCGACCTGGTATGCTCTTCGGCGACACAGATGCCGCTGAAGAGACTGTCGGCCGGATCATTGAAGCTGATGGAAGCGGCAACACTCTCGTTGTGATCGCGCATGGCAGTCACTTGATGGACGTTATCAAGATATTCCCGGAGTATGCGAATGACTTCTTTCAACAAGATTGGGCTCAGCAGAGTAGATGGTTATTCTTGAGTGATTTCAAGGATGCGGTTGATGTGGGTCAGAACGAAGAGCCGTAAACTCCATGCGGACATAGAGGTTTTGCAGTTCTTCTTCACACAACTTGACATAGAGTAGAATAGAAAGAGACCCAAATGGAGATAGATTCGGATAGAATGATATTCAAATAACCATTGGACACCTCAACGATCCATTTGATGCGATGCTACAGACTGCCACGGCTAGTCGCACTTTCAATCAATACAAACATGCAGAGTGAATGAAAGAAACTACCAGAATGGATCTGAAATGAATAATCGCTGAGATCAAAATCCTTGTTAGAGTCTATTGTCAGACTTTCTGTCCCAGATACCTTGGCCTAGATTGCCGGTGGTCGCTTTTAACTCTTGCAGGTGATTGTCGTGGATTCCTCGAGGTGTGGTCTGATATTTCTTGCACAGGTGTGCTGCAGCCGCGGTAGCCAGCGCATGCTGACCTCCATTTGCCATGAACTTGGCGTTGGAACCTCCAATGTGGGTAGTGCTGATGTGTTTCCCTGCCATCATCAAATTCGAAATATTGGTCGAGAAAAGACATCTGAATGGAATGTCATACGGCTTTTTGTCCCGCTCATCCCACTCCCAAGCTCTCAACCGGAAATCGTACTTTTCATCGCCAGGGTAATGCAAGCAAAATGCGCCTGCATTCTGAACCACCGCATCTGGGAAAGCCTTGTGATCGCGAATATCAGTCTCCGCCAGAACATAATCGCCCTTGTACCGTTTGAATTCTCCTTGAGCTGCAACAAAAGTCACCCAATCAAAGTCAAGGTTTGCGTAATTCTCTGGTTCCATCGTTTTCACATTGTGAAAGGTTCCGTAAATGGCGCAGAGAAGGTGATCTCGGATGTGTTCACCGTTGGTATACGGATCAAGCCATTGACCATACTCCCAGAAGTGCGTAAGAGGTCCCTTCATCCGCATATCGGCGGTCGGATCCGGTACGAAATTCGGAGGAACGACGAAAGGGCCGGTTCCGTTCTCAAGACCGGGTTCCCGCAGTTGACCGCGGAGATCTGAGTAGTCTTTCGCAACCTCGATGGCCCAGGGCACAACAGGGAACGATACAGCCGCATTAGCCATCTTGGTTCGAAAAAAGAGTGTGTGGCCATGATGCATGTCGTCGGCCTCGGCAGGCGCAAGACTTTCGCCGTACATTGACTTGGATTCTTGACCAAAGAGTGTCTCCGCACCAGTGAATATGCCGAGAACAGCCTTTCCGGAGCAGTCAATGAAGGTCGGAGCCGACAGGCTGATTTCCCTTCCAGTTCGAGCGTGACGAGCGTCCAATGATGTTATTATGGAGCCAACGAGATGCGCATCGTAGACGGCGTACTCCATGAATAATGTCGCGTTGGGCTCCGCGTCGAGAAGCTGCTTTGCCAGTAAGTCCCCGTCGGTATGGCGCTGCGAAAGTTCCTGAATCAAAGTGCTAGTCATTCCACGTGGGGAGAGACCAATCTCAACACTGGCATTGCCGCCAAGTTTAGGGCGATCTTGCACAAGAGCAACGCGATTTCCCAGTCGTGCGGCTGCTAACGCCGCTGTGCAGCCAGGTATCCCTCCACCGACTACCACAACGTCATATGAGCCGGCGTCGACAGGATTCTCAGGTAGTTCACGTAATCTTCTCCGCCAGGCACGCGCCTCGTCGTTATTCTCACTTGGCGGGGGTGTATCCTCAAGGCTGAAAAAGATAGCGTCGCAACGGCCGCAGAATCCAGTGAGGTCGTGGAGCATAACACTTGTATCGCCGTGTGGGAGATCCATAATACCTGCGTACTGCCAGGACCAGTCCTCATTGTTCGTGCCGAAAACGGTATCCAGGGTGCTTTCGTTGATGGTCAGGGTAAACTGTCCTGGATGATGGTCAGGAACCCAATCCTTGGCTCGAACCCAGACATGATAGTGCCCCTTTTCTGTAGATAGAACGGTTGTTGCATCTGCGACTGGCTTGCCATTACCGTGGGCAAGGAGGTATGGCGAGCCCATCTCTGAGTCGAATTGCGAGTCCAGAATCCAGCCACCATAGTTCTGGAACTCTTCCGCTTCCAGAAGTATTCCTGACTGTGGGAGCGACGCCATGATACAAAATTGCTTATGATAGTGTATGTAATGTATTGCCGCGAATAGGAGGTAAGTAGTATAACCATTTCTTATCTTCCTCCTGCTGGATGTAGTTTATATGGCAACGCAACCATCACCGGCCCTGTTTCATGCACAAACAACCCGAGGATCGTTGAGCAGGATTATTAAACATCATTGTAGTCCGAGGTTGTCATTTCATTGTTTATTTGTGGACACCTCTTCTGGAGTTGACATTCTCGGCCCATGGACCAATCGGCTGGTTTTGATGCACGGCAAGCTTCGTAACTCGCAGTCGCTGTAGAATGTGGAGCTTGTGCGGCTTCCCGGTACTTGGAAAGTTGGTCTGAGTTAGATGTTTTATGGTTGAGCGCAACCACGGTCTAGGAGAGATGTTTGGGTAATGTCCTCTTCCGAGTAGAAGCTATATCCGGGTCGAGGCCCGGAAGGTCGCAACAGAAACTTGTAAGGTCATAGACTCCACGAATGTGTCTCAATCATGGAAACAAAAAAACGGAGGCGGGATTGCTGTCAATCCGTCGGGCAAATCGACCAAACGGAGACGCGGCGCCTTTGTAGCTTCGGCTCCCACGCCGGCTCCCGCACTAGTATTGGTGGGGACGATTGAAATAGCAGTCTGATTCCTGCGCACTCGGCACTTGGACATCCCTACATTTCATCATTTTCGGTTCGAACTCTAACATGGATTCTAGAACGGCGCGAGAGCGTGCCAACGTGGTGTGCGTTGAATGTCATTCCAGAAAGGTGTGTCGTCCCCAACGTATACTTCAACATCTGCGAGGAGCCGTTGCCTGACCACCATATGGCCAGGTCAAATGCGATCTTCAAGGCAGTCCAGATAATAAATGCCGAAACTGTCGCCGCTCTGGTGTCCAATGCATGCAAGATTGCCCCATTCTCCCAAAGTTGCTCCAAGGAGAAATGCTGACCGCGTGGCTGTTGCAGTCGACGCGATGGCGGTAGAAAAAGACGGAAGGTCATCGCACGGCACGGTCAGGCACTACTACCGACATCGCCGACTGTGCCGATTGTGCCGCTGGCTCCTTCCGGCCTCGGCAGTGTCAGTACAGAGAATGAGAATGGGACGCAGATGATCACCCCAACGCCGTCCTCCGACTCCAGCAATCGGACCTACCAGTCGGAAGGTTTCATTTCCCACAGCTCCGTCCTGTCATACGACTCCATCACCCAGCCAATGGCCATTCACGAGGGCCTTCCGCCACGAATTGTCCAGGCCAGAGATATTATTTTGGGCGCGGCACAGGCGAATATTCCCCTAGCCCCATCGCTGAGAAAAGCTCTGATGGATAGCTTCATTGAAAATGTTCTTCCTTACTGTCCTGTTGTTGATTCGAAGGACCTCACGGACGAGAACTCGTCGACCCTGCTTCAGTTAGCGGTGTGTCTCGTCGGGAGCCTTATGCCCCATGATCCCAGCAGCCTGCAACTGAGTTACTCCCTTTACGAAAGGATTCAAACTCTACTTTACATCGATTTCGAAGATGATAATATGGCCCTGCTGAAGACGTTCTGCCTTCTGTCATGCTGGGCTCCAGCCTCTCCGTATCGGGTCACGCTTCATGGGCCGTGGCACTGGACGGGGATGGCAGTGCGGTTAGCGATACAAATGGGCGTGCATACGCAGTCAAGTTACGCAGAAAACGAAAATGCCGGATGTTTTCGGCGGATCTTCTGGTACTTGAACGTGCGTGCCTCCTTCCCTTCTACTCTTACTCACCGAGTCTGGCCTCTGTTTTATGTCACCTATCCTGTTTTGGAACGAAGACGCCAATGTCATCTTCAACATTTCTTTCTACAATCCAAGTTCAAACAAAGCACTCTTTTTTGTCTAACTGAGACTTTTTACTGATCTCTCACAGAATACCGAAACACTTATGGTTGCCTGTTGGGGTCGCCCGCGTTCTCTGAAGCTGGAGGATTGTGATGTGCAGCCCCTTGCGTCGTCAGACTTCGCTGCTGAAGGGGTATCTGTCATGGTTTCTCTTCATTTCACAAGACTGATGAATGTCGCTCGCAGTGTTGCAGAATGGAACACCAAAAAGGGGGTTCCCTCGGAGCATGAGGTTGAAGGAATAATCGCGTCGATTTGTAATTGGTATCGAGGTCTGCCAGAAGAGTTGCGGCTTCACGACCAAAACGGAACCCGAAGACCATTTCACCGTTTCACTTCGGAGTTACATATCCACTATTTCACGACGATCATACTTATTCAGATGCTCAGCAAAGACCGCCATTCCCCGTGGCGGACGTCCCCAGCCTCAATTGTGGCAGCGTCTTGCGTTGCTCATCTGTACGAAGAGATTGACTGCAGAGAAGAAGCCGTCCACTTGCTCAGTGTCAATGGCTTCTTGGCTTTAGTTGCTGCCATTGTGTTGATTTTTCAGCGCCCGAAGTCGCCACAGAAGGACGTCATTCGCAACAATGGCGTCAACAGCATTTGTTCCGTCCTCCGCCTCATGTGCGCCAAGTATGGCGGGGCAAGATCAGTGCTCAAAAGGATACAGGGGCTTCAACTGAGTGCTGAGGGTAGAGAGCCTTCCGCCCATTACGACCAGAATGGTGGCCCTGCATCATGCGCCCCATGGGTAGCAAGGGCTGTCAACAGACATGTTGATGAGCTGTTTCCTTTCCCACATAGCTTTTGCGAGAACATGGACATTTTAGGTCTAGCGGAAATACGATCGGACCAGCTATCAGTTCATGCAGTAGGAGCCGTGGATTCCATCCTTTTGAGCAAGTGTCAGACTCCGGGTTTTCATTGATGGACATCCTCGAAATGGATTTCGATGTTTTTGAAACCATGACTGGCTGCATGTAGAAGCACTTCCATAAGATTGAGATAGTATAAAGATTCAAGATAACTCAAATCTACCTGGGGGCAATGGGATTGATCCCCTGGCTAGACGGACTTTTGGAATCAAGAAGGCCGGGTGAGGCACTGGGAGGTGGATAGCTCGTATCATTCTTTGGAATGATCACTCGCAGTTGCCTCATTGACTTAGAAGATGAAGTTGGTTGAATATAGCATCGACTTCGTCATTTTCACAACATGAACATGGCTACTTGGTCGGCAGCGTTTGCAATGACGGACTTTGGTGCAGCGAATCCCGTCCCTTGACCATTCGCCTCGGCTATGTGATGGTTGCCGAGTGCCGATACCACGTGCACCATTCCTCTGCCGAAAGTCACATCTACAACATACAGTCGAAGTACACGTGGTTCATTATTCTTTCCTAGCACTACGTCAGCTACAGTACACATTGTGTGAATATATCGGCGAATTCAGAAGTCCGAACCAGCTTAGTTAGCCGAATGGCGGATTCCACCCACCGGTTGGTGTTCTAATTGATGTCTTGTGTACCAATCGTAGAGCCAAATCTTTTTGGAATCGCCAGTTTCATTACAGCTCCCCATAGATATAAAGAGGACGCGATGCCACATAATACATGACTCACAGAACCCATCAGCCTACTCATGAACAAACTGAAAATCTCTTTTGTGCCATCTTAACATTTATAAACATGTCTAATCTCATTGTGGTCATTGGCGCAACTGGTGGTCAGGGTGGAGGAGTTGTCAACGCCTTTCTTAACGAAGCAGGGTGGAAGGTGAGAGGTACCACAAGAAACACCTCAAGCGAAAAGGCAAAGGCACTCTCCGCGAAAGGCGTCGAAGTCGTTTCTGCAAATCTCAATGACGAAGAAAGTCTCGAGAAGGCTTTTCAAGGCGCCACGGCAATTTTTGCATTCACCGATTACTACGAGACGTTCTTCGAATTGGGAGATGAGAAGTCTCTGGAGCTGGAGTTCGCCCAGGGCCAGAAGATTGCACGTGCGGCAGCCAAGAACCAGTCTCTTCAGAGGCTCGTGTTCAGTGCCGGTCCTCACACAAGCATGATTACCAACGGAGAGGCAATCTGTCCTCATCTTGAAGGGAAGGGACGCATTGTCACGTATGTCACGCAGGAAATGCCCGACCTTGCCGCCAAGACAACATTTGCCGTTTTCACCGTCTTCGCCAACAACGCATTGCTCTACGACATCTTCAAGCCCATCTACGTCGTTAGTAGAACTATCCACTTCAAATCATCAAGACATGGACTAACTGAATTCAAGCCAAGCGCCAAGAAGTATGTCACCTTGTACCCGACACCCATGTGTTGGGGATCCTGCAATCAACGGGGGCATCTTCGTTCGAAGACTGGTGAAGCGCCCACCACCTCCGGGTTCCTTTGTTCGATGCAACGTGGAAACTCTGACCATGGAGTCATACCTCGCCGCCTGAGGGCGAGCTACCGGCCTCGCCCCGGAGGAGGGAGCGACTGCCGCATTGCAGATTTCCCCTGAAAGCTACGTTGAGCTTTGGGGTTCCATGGCGCAAGAGCAGCTATCTCAATGGAAGTTCTTCCAATGGCTCCACGATCATTATCCCCCAAAGTGGGAAGGAATTACGATCGTGGAAGGAATGGATCTATTGACTGATGAGGACAAGAAGGAACTTCTGAGTGTCGAGGAGTCGCTGAAGCGGTACGACTGGAGCGCGTTCGAGAAGAAGCCAACCGCCAAAGCGGTCACTGGCCGGTTCTCTACCTAGGCGAAAGCTCAGAAAGCCCAAGCCTGTAGGAGCGCCATATGAAGCAATAACAGGCCTGTTGAGTTCGTGTCATTACTTCGCAAATCACTCTCTATCAGCATTCTTACGAGCATGAAGACGTATCAATAAAAGTCCCTAAATCATACATAAACATATTCGATGCTGCCGAATCATGATAAGGCGATGTCTCTTGGTTTCATGTTGAGCCAAGGGCGGTCAAGTCATCCCTGACTACGGCATACACCATCTCGTCCATCAAGACACCGTTTTTGAACACCGCCTTCCTAAGCCTGCCCTCAAGCTGAAACCCGCTCTTCTGCAGCAAGGCCTGGCTCGCCTTGTTCTCAGAAAACACGCCAGCCCATAGCCTCTCAACCTCGGCCTTTTCCTCACCCATCCCGTCGAACATCCACTTCACGAACGCAGGAACCAACTCGCTCATGATTTTTTGCCCCCAAAATTCCTCACCCAGCCAGTATCCCAACTCATAACCCCGCAAATACACGTCTTTGCCGGGAATGATACCGATGCTACCCATGGCTCGGCCCGATGTGGGGCAGATGATGACCCAGCTGCGGTACGGAGGTGTCTGGTTCATTGAGATCCAACTCTCGGCGTCGGCGAGGGTGTATGGGTGCGGAAACTGGTTGCGGAGATGAACGACGACGGCCTTGGAGTTTGCTGCTTTGGCCACGGATGGTGCATCTGAAGGGTGATACGGTCGGAGGATGCTTTTTGAGAGGGTGAGAATGGGCGTGGGCAGATCAGACGGGGACGCCATGTTGCATGCCAAGCCGATGTGACCGAAATCTTCGCCCTGAGGTGAGTTGTCGTAAGTTCAAAAGTAGTTGCCTTTGCACAATAATGATGGAGGTTTTGACCTTTTCTCTTTAAAAGACGCGAGAGAACAGTCATTCGGCGGAGGGTTTCTTGTGGTTTAATATGTGTCATCAAATGACTCTTCATACAAAAGTTCCGCTGTAGGCGATAACATAGTCAGCACGCAACGTTGCTTATCAGCCCCTGTATAAGAATAGCACCTTATGGGCCATAAGACTCCTAAGTTAATTAGGAATCACCCGTCATCGTTCCCCTCAATCGGCGCCGGCCTCCCATCGAGGCCCGGAGTCTTGACTGCTAGGCCCCGAGACACGGCGGTGTCAGTAGTCAGCAAGACTGATGCCACACAAGCTTCCTTGGTACTGCTACAGCCACATGCAGCAGCCACAGCGTGTGGTGCGTGTATGATTTGCCCACGTGGGTAGCTGCCCATCAACCGGAGGATGCAACAACAAACACGGCTTCGACATTGTCTTCCCTCAATTTTCTCAGCTAATAGGCAACCATCTTGACTTTGCAATATCAGGGTACCATATTGTTGCGAACAAACATACAAAGCCGCAGACACATCATGGCTCACCTGCAACCCCACGTCGAACGTCCTCAGTACCCGGCCGGGGTTCCCAGCAAGTTCGCTCCCGACGGGGCGGTCCAGGCCTTCCCAGGAAACACCATCATCTGTCATCTTTCCCCCGTCCGATCCTCTCTACGCCTCAATGCAGGCGCTCTGCGACAAGCTCGCAGCCAGCAAGTTCGCCTCTTTGATCACCCTCCTACCACCGACGAGCTTCCACGTGACAGTCTTCGAAGGCGTGTGTGATCAAGTTCGGAAACCTGGATACTGGCCATCTAATCTATCTCTCGATGCCCCTCTTGAGGAGTGCAACTCCAAGTTTGATAAAGCTCTGGTTGCATTTGATCTCGGGGATGAGCATGCGCCCCCGTACAAGATGACGGTGAGGGGTTTTGACCCACTGGAAATCGGCATCGGCGTCCGGCTTGACGGGCGCACGCCGGCCGAGACGGAGCGACTCAGATGCCTGCGGAACAGGCTTGCAGACAAGCTAAACATCCGGCACCCGATACATGACGGATATGGCTTTCACCTCAGCGTTGCATACTTGCTCCGACATCTGACAGATGAGCAGAACCGAGAGCTCGAGGCTCTCCTACTCAGCCATTTTGAGGAGATGCCCAAGAGCTTTGAGTTGAGTGCGCCGGAATTTTGCACATTTAAAAACATGTTTGCATTCAAGCGCGTCTTCTTCCTCGGGGGAGGGTCGAATTGAGGTGCACAAACATTGTCGTGGTTCACCTGGTCTAGACGAGCCGTGGGAAAAGCCGGAGGTTAAGTGCTGGCGATCGCATCGTGAATGAACGAGGCGGGGCATTCAGATCATCTTCAATTATTCGTTCGCTGATGCAAAAGGGTATAATACAGTCTAGAAACATCGTCATCATCTCATGAACAAGCGTCTGCGCTATAAAATCCATGCCGACTCCGTGTAGTCCTTTGACAAGATCTGGTTGGTGTTCTTGGTGTACTTCAACCAGCAATACGGGTCGTCGTTGCCCTGATCATCCTTGTAGAGATAAACAATGCCGGCGCAGCGACCGAGCTCAGTTTGCTTATTAACGTTGAAGACAGCACAGAGTCGGATGCACTCCTCGATGTTTGTGGTCGGCACCTTGCCAATGTCGTTGTAGATGTAGTCGCTGCCGCAATCCTTCTCGAAGGTGAGATTCGTTCCTGGGACTTCCCATGTCGGCTTGCTTGAGCTAGTGCCGCATTCACCCTTCTTGACAGCCGTGTCAGTAGGTGCGGGTTTACTGAGGTCGAGGATGGCATTGGCTGTTCCGGAGGGCGTCGATGTGCTGGATGATCCGGCGGCTGCAGATGCCGTGGCTCTGCGACAACGTTAGTTCCTGTAATAATGGACGGAAAACAGACGACACGTACTTTGCCAGCTCTGAATTCTTCTGGGCTACAACAGCTCCAAGGGCACCGGCGACCGCGATCAGAGCGCAGAGGAGGAAGAGGGACACAAGCATCAAGAAGAAGGTAGGTTTGCGCAGGCTGCATATCCTCCCATCACGCGGGTCGCCCTTCTCCCCTGCAGGTGGCACGCCGACGGGAGTGTGGTTATTCGTGTAGGTTGTTTGCGTGTACTGCGTCTGAGGCGACGTCGCATGGTGGTCATAGTACGGCGCGGGCTGGTGCTGCGACTGGGGATAATACGGCTGGGGCGCATTGTTGAAATCCATGCCCTGATTCACTTCCAGTCCATCGGGAATGGCACCGGACTCGGGGCCCGGAGAGCCATTCGGGTTCTTGAGCATCTTCTCGGCTTCGGGCGACACGGAGTGGCTGCTGTAACCGCTTGTTCTGCCTGAGTAAAAGTGGTCGTGCGGATGCAGAGATGCCATCTCAAACACAAGAAAAGAGCGGCTGTCTGAGATTTGGAGGTGGGAAGGGAGATGCTTAAATTGAAGGGTGATTTACCCGGGTACTCCGGGGCGGGTTGACAGTGACAAGGAAGAGCAGGCAGAAATGTTTGAGGTGCTTGTAGACCGGAGAGGGATTGACAAAGAGAAAGGACAGAAGAGACGGCGGGAGAGCAGGAGAAAGTGACTTGAAGGATTGACAAGACGTGCCATCACGCGGATCAGGGGGTCGCGAGGGGGCTGTAAGCAATAGATGTGCTAGCTAAGCTAAACAAGTCTAAGACACAATCTGGACGCCAGCCCGTTCCATCCACCGTCTGGGCCGGTAGGGCTGGCGGCAAACGGGTGGGAGGCTGGCCGGGACCTACCTAGTCTCACGACGTAATAACGATAACATCTTGGAATAGCATCGGGTGCTGGCAGCAGAAAGTGCAATATTCGGAGGGAAGGCAAGCAATGAGGGCAAAGCAAGGCACTGCCCCTGGAAGAGACTCAGCCGCCGAAGTGACCTCGTGGTCCAATGGACGAGCTGCGTGGGATGAGATCGGCGCCAAAGATGGGTTGCTTTTGGGCGCGAAGGATCCGGACCCTTGGCCGAGTCTAGCGCTTTTTGGGGCAAAGTAAGCTTCACGAGTAACCATAATCGTGCTGCCTCAAACGCCCCCCAATTTCAGCAGTGGCCGACCGATTCTCCCGCCAGTTTGTTTTGGGCCAATGCCGCCCGTCTGCAGGATGAATCGTGTCAGTCTTCCACCGATACTCTCCACAAAAGTACCAAATAATAGTTAGATTCTTGCGCCGTTAAGTTTCTGATGATCCTTCCCCTTCTCTCTTGCTTTGAAATGGTTTCTAGCTGGTTTCTTGGTCCCCACAGTAAGGCCTTGGTCCGTGACAGCGTCCGAATGAGGCAAAACAGCCCTGTTCACATCATGTGCGATGACAAGTCCGCAACATTTAGCGGCCGCCCGAGTGAGATATGGTCTTGTCCCATCACTCAGTGTTGAGGCTGAAAGAGCCTGGATGCTTCGTCTACAAGACCCCATGAGTTCCTCAGGATGGAGCTCGCGATTTTGCCGTGCCACTGCGTCCCCAGTTCAACTGGGTGCCCGTCATCATCGATCTCCTACGTCATAGACCTCGCCGAAGTCCCTTTGAATGAACAAGGCCATTCATTCTCACTTGCTCAACTCCGAACAAAACAAACGGCCAGCCACCAAGGCATACTTCTGAAAGGACCCCAGGCTCGAGCATGTGGCGATGCGCGCTTTGAAACAAACCACCATGACAACAGGCTCCGGTCCTTAGCTAAGCCTTTGTGGCTGCCCTTAGCGGGTGGTCCCGGCCAGTCAGCATCGGATGTTGTCCGCAAGCCAACAATTGCAACCTAGGGGCGAGGTTGGCGCTTAGCCGCCGTAACACCCCAAGGTGTTTGTCTTTCTCTGTTTAAGTGTCCTGGAATCCTTCAAAGTACGGTCGCTAAGCGCAACGCGGGCATTCCCAGCTGTCAAAGCTTCGGCTCCGTCGTGTACCGGAAGGATCAGAGTTCCGGGGCGGGGCCAGAGTCAGCATGCGTCGCGAGAAGCCATCATACTCCAACTGCAAGAAACGACAAGTGTCGTTCTTGCCACTCAAATTGCTTTTAATTACATCTCATCTCGTCGCTTTGCTGTAAATACTGCTTATTGCCCTGGAAACGTCGCAAACCGATTCTTCCCCCAATATGTTAGGTTCTTACACTACCACCTGACGAAATTACACCTCACAACATGTCGTCTTTCAAACATCCGTATTCTTGGACAAAGTCAGCGAACGAACACCGACGCTGAATGATCAGAATTTGGAGTCAGATCTATATGAGTAAGTGACAGGCGGTACTCGAACTTTAACGTGCGTGACGTCAGCGTCTCCTCGCATGGCTAGTGAGACAAGCCTCAAGCCCGAGCGTGAATGACATATGGGAGAGAGGGGCGGTCTGGGGACTTCCCTCAGTTTCCCGATGCAATAGCAGCGGAATTTCCGATTATAATCGAATACACAGCAAAAGAGACTCTTTCGAATCACTTTGTCTATCGAGTGACAGAGACTCCTTGAATGTCAACATGTGCCGCTGGTTCGCGTATTTGGGAGATGAGCCTCAGCTCCTTGAGGATCTAATCCTCAGACCCCGTCATGCCGTTGTGAAGCAAGGTGAGTTCAGCTTTCAGATTGAGGGCCGGAAAACATGTTAACAAGATCAGTCGATGAGCACTTCTTGCCATCCGGTCATACTTCATTTGACCCACAAAAGTCCATGGCCGTGTCCGCTGCCAGTGACACCGGCTCTCCAAATGCATTCAGCAACATGGATGGCTTTGGGGTGGGATGGTTCTCAACCGTCGAGCGAGAGTTCGCGACCGGAGAACACGGCCGTGGGAAAGAGTTACTCCGGCCTATCGTGTACACTAATATTCGCCCACCCATGAACGATCTTGTTCTCCAGAACATTGCCCGCGGCACCAGCACGACAGCGATCATTGCCCACGTCCGAGCTGCACCCGGGCTCACGCCCGTGGTGCAGACCAACTGCCACCCGTTCACCTTCGGACGGCATCTCTTCGCGCACAACGGCATTGTAGGCGCTTTCGCCTCGATCCGAACACCGCTTCTGCAGTATCTCCCACTGAGGTATCAGACGGCGATTCTTGGCACCACGGATGCTGAGCACTTGGGAGCCCTGTACATGTTCATGCTCTGCGGAGAAGAGGGGGACTGGACGTCACTGTATGGCGTTCATCAGTTGGCGGAAGCGATGAGGAAAACAATCGTTATGGTCGAGAATATGCAGAAAGAGTTTGCGGGCAACTCCAAAGTCGAAAACACCCTAAATCTGGTCATCAATTCTGGGTCTGAGATGGTTGCTCTGAGATACGCTAGTCCAGCCGGTGTAGAGGCTCCGAGTCTATACTACTCTATGAAGGCAGGTTCCACCATGAACAGAAAGTACACTGGGCATCCGGACGACACCAAGGGTGATGGTAGTCTTGACGAAGAGAGGGGTCTCTATGCGAAGGATGATCATGGCCGCCATGCCATCGTGGCCAGCGAGCCCAGCACCCTCAATCAAGATGAGTGGGACCTGGTTGAGCCGTCCCAAATGGTTTTAGTCGACGAGAACATCCGTCTGAAGGTGGTAAACATGTAAAATGGCGCATAATGACAGACTAGTACTAGCTCCCACATAGGGCGCACGTTGTGGCCAATTCCATGATTATTTTCTTTCCTTTCGCATCCAGTAGCTCTGGATGTTGTTTCACTCCGTTTTCACTCCGTTAACTGAACTCGCGTGCGCCGAGAGGCTGGCTCACGGGCTGATTCCAAACGCTGGCATGGGTTCTTCCACAACCGCATCTCATCCTCTGCAGGCCAATCCCATGAAGTCGCGCAATATTCATGTTGTGTAGGGCTGATGGCCAGGACTGTCGTGCCCTTGACATGCAGCACTTCCGCGGGGACTTCACATCACGCAAGTCGGAACACTGCTCCGGAAGCTTGTCTTGCGTCCCCAGCACCACCCAGCACCATACCAAGCCTATTCCCCGCCCAAAGTCCGCCAGCGTCCACGAATCATACGTCCGCAGCCAGCATGTTTAGCGAACATTTATGGAGACAGAAACCCGCTCAATAGGTCGGCTCGACGCGGAATGGAATCCAATAGCGCAAAAAGCTTTCCATCAAGACATCCAGACCTAAGAAAGTGCTCAGTCGCGCCCCAAGCTAACTGCAAAGGTGGTAGTCTTCCCGGCCGCGATACCAGGATTGGCAACGCGTGTCAGAGTCTGCGCGTTCACTATCCCTTATCAATCAATCTAATCAGATGATGCCATCTCCTCTGATTGGTGCTCGCTTCACGATGCTCCCACCATCCACCCTTTTGAAGTCGGGAACCCGGCATCGGAGGCATCGCCAAGCATGTTGAGGACCCGCAAACGGGCCCCTACCCGACCCGAAGGATCGTCTTCCCTTCCCGTGTCCTCGGGTCGCGCCAAGCACTAGACGATTTCGGTGCTTCTCGACCGCGATGTTCGGATGGCGTCCCCTCATCATTCGTGGTGTTGAAGGAATGCGCGTGGGTCGACGGTCCTTTACGTAAAGCGCTAGGCTCAAGATGCATGGTTGGCGTCCCGAGGTGGGTTGAGAGACGGTGGCGCAAAAGTTCTTCGTCTGCCTGGCACTCACTTATTATATCTGACTTGCCTGCTCCTTGTGAGACATATGGTCTGTTGTTCTCTGTCCGTCGTCCCTCCGCGCAATAATGGTAGTGTTTTCGAAACTTCAAGAGGCCCTCGGCCGCAAGCGTGCCAATACCGAAGACGAGATTGTCGCGGCTCCCGAACCAGTGGACGATGCCGCTGTTAGGGAAGCCGCTGATATCCCTGACGAAAAGATCGTCGAAGATCTTCCCAGCGAGAATGTGCAGCATGGTGTCAAGCTGGCGCAAGCTTTGTCTCTGACCTGGGGCACAGAGTCGCTGGTTGCCATCTTCATCTTGTAGGAATCTTGGCACACCCTTGTTCTCATCTGAGCGATGATCTAACACAAATCTAGCATGTGGTTGCTCTACCTTACCAACGGATTCCAGAGCTCGGTCCTGTACAGCTTGACGCCGTATGCAGCCAGCGATTTCGAGTCGCACTCCCTGCTCCCCGTCATCGATATCGTTTCAAGCGCAATGACGGCCTCGGTGTATATCCCTTTGGCCAAGATCTTGGATCTTTGGGGCAGAGCTGAAGGCTTCCTCCTCATGGTCATCTTCGCTACTCTCGGAATGATTCTGCTGGCTGGCAGTCAGAATCTGGCTACCTACTGCGCAGCTACCGTAAGAGCCGTCGAAAGTTGCCCCACGATGATGCTAACCTGAACTCAGGTGTTCTGGCAACTTGGGTGGTCCGGCCTTACCTACAGCATCGATGTCATCACGGCCGACTCCACAAACCTGAAGAACCGAGGTCTGGCCTTCGCCTTCACTTCGTCTCCCTACATCATCACCGCTTTCGCTGGACCGAAGTCCGCTGAAGGCTTCCTTGATAACGTCAACTGGCGCTGGGGCTTTGGATGCTTCTCTATCGTTTTGCCTGTCGTTGCCGCTCCTCTGTATGGCATTCTCAAGTGGAACATCCACAAGGCCAAGAAGAGAGGTGTCTTGGTCCGTGAACCGAGTGGTCGGTCGTTCTTGCAGAACATCTGGTGGGCGCTTGTGGAATTTGATGGTATGTATCAAGGATTGCGCGCCAGCGCTACACTGGACTAACTTACTACTCTATAGTCCTCGGAGTTGTTCTGTTTGCCTGTGGCCTCGTCACTTTCCTTCTCCCGTTCTCTCTTGCCAGCACTGCTCCTGATGGCTGGTCCTCCGGTTACATCATTGCGATGATCGTCACCGGCTTCGTCGTTCTTGGACTCTTCCTTCTCAACGAGCTTTTTTTCGCCCCGGTACCCTTTTTGAAGTTCAAATTCTTTGCCGATCGAACCGTCATGGGTGCCTGTGTCCTCGACATCACTTACCAGGTCGCATACTACTGCTGGAATAGCTACTTCACATCTTTTCTCCAGGTCGTGAACGACGTCTCCGTTTCAGAGGCAGGGTACATCAGCAATACCTTCGACGTTGTCTCTGGCGTTTTGCTCTTTATCGTTGGATTCTCCATCTCCAAGACCGGCCGTTTCAGGTGGCTCCTTTTCGTGGCGGTCCCGCTCTACACCTTCGGCCAGGGCCTGATGATCTACTTCCGCCGGCCTGGCCAAAGCGTTGGATATCTTGTTATGTGCCAGATCTTCACCTCCATTGGCGGAAGTGTCTTCATCCTTTGCATGCAGGTCGCTATTCTCGCTGCCGTTGACCACCAGCATGTCGCCGCAGCCCTTGCTCTGCTGAGTGTGTGCGGCAACATCGGTGGTTCCGTGGGTAATACTGTGTCGGCCGCAATCTGGACAAACACTTTTGATGGTGCCTTGGAACGGTACCTTCCTGCGTCTGCTTTGGACAGTGTGGCTGACATTTACGGGGACCTCGACACGCAATTGAGCTATCCCGTCGGCCGCGATGAGCGCATCGCGATTCAAAACGCGTATGGGTATGCACAGACAAGAATGCTGGCTGCCGGCACGTCAGTTATGATCTTTGGATTTGTGGCCATGTTCATGATCAAGAACTATAACCTCAAGAAGATGACTCAAACAAAGGGACTGGTCTTCTAGGCCTGCTAGCAATCAATAGGAAGAACACCTCAGTATTAATCAATCTTTTATTTGCAAGACCATTCCAAGAAGGTGATTTCCCGTTCTCATCATCACGCATCACCATAGAACCATGCCTCGTCTATATACGAGTCCTATTGTATGCTCCTTGCTCCTTGCGTGGGATATACGTTCCATACCGTATGCCATGTAACAAGGACCAAAGAAATAAGGCAGGCTCTTTCAGCACCTCATCCAAACGCCGACGTTTGCCCCATGCCGTTTCTCCAACGTTTATCGCTATTGCGCCGTATGACAATGTGACAGAACCAACTATCGCAACCGGAGCAGATGGTTTCACTAAGACGCCCACAAACGCTTTCGTTCGCGTCAAGCCAAACCGTTGCATGAGTGGCCATGCGAGTCTGGTACAATTCCGACTGCTTTTCATTCTTCAATGTGGTCAGGAGCTTTCTCCGCAAGCTTCCTGCGCTTGATGCTCTCCCTTCCGACTTGGTTTTGGATATCGCGGGTGGCATTCAGTTGCTTGTTGTTGATTTTGAGCTGCGAGGCAAGTCAGTCAAGGAATCGCAGATGTATGGGAACGCGAGTTACCTTTCGCTCGGCGGCGGGGCCAGCAGCAAGTCTATGTGTCCAATCTCCTCGAAGCGCAGAGTGCAGCATGACCTTGTGGTTCTATTCATGAGATTCGTGTGTCAGTCGGTCTCCAGTATTTGACGTTCAAGAATCAGGCCATGTTATGCCATTTTGCTCACCTGCATATTGAAGCACATCTTCTCCCAGCGATCCGCAAAGCTGTCGAATCGCTCCCATTTAGGGCAGCTGTCCCCAGTCCAGCGGAGCCTCAGCTCCCATCCCTCCTGACAGTCCATGGCAGAGTTCTGTTCCATGCGTTAGATTTGGCTACCAGCATCAAGTAGTAGTCAGCACTTACCAAAAGCTTCTAACAGACGAGCTCGACCTCGACATCCGAGAGGTCACAGCGAGCAGCGGCTCGTAGGAGATCAGCCGGTGTGCTGTCGGGATTGACGTAGATGGAGTCTGTGTGAGAGATCCCAGGGATCTTTCTAGTCTTTTCCTGTCCATGCTTACGCTTCAAGTACGGGCCCGGCTTGTTTACGGTTTCGCCTGTGGTGCTACGAACAACGTCGAGGCCGTCTTGCTTCGAGTCCAATTGGGCCTTCTTTCGCAATGCGTCGGTCTTCTCTTGGAAGCAACTGGTATCAACGATTGCTTCGTACATCTGCTTAACGTACGCTTGCCGTTTTTCTCTCGTGGTTGGCCAAGTCGGGTCATCCTCGCGAGGCGTCGACTCCTGACGGAAGTGATGCTCGTAAGCTTTCCCCAGCGCCACCGCCTGGTCGATATCGTCAATGATACCGCGGTACGCGAACGTGAGTGCGGTTTGAAGTTCATTCTTGAGAAGCACATCTTGGTGGTCGGTGATCTGCTTAGCCTTGCCAGAGCGCTTTAATGGCTTGACAAGCCTGGGCTGCTGCGGACCCTCTGGGGATGCCGCCTTCAATGTGTTGTTGTATTCGGTGATGACTTTCACGTAGTGATCCACGATATCGGTGGACATATTGCTAAGCCAGAAGGCAACATCTCTTCCAATTCGGCGGATGTCGGGGTTGGGTTCATTATGGAGAAGTGTGTCGTAGAAGTCCACGGATGGAAAGGCTCGCGAGCCGTCATTGGATCGGTAGGGGAATACCTTATCTGGGAGCTTGTTAGAGGGACATAAGTGGTGTTTCTTGGCCATGATGATGACATACCGACAATTACGCCGAAGACGACCTTCTTCACTTCCAAAGAAGTCTGCTCATCCATGACTTCATCCAGGAAGACGAGCAATAGGTCCTCTGCATTCTCGCTTGATCCGTCGTTGTGCAGTTCTTGGGGGACGTAGTTGTTGCGGCCAACGTCATCGGTCGGCAACGGAGCCGCGCACGTAGGAATCGAAGCTGGAATTAGAGCACTACCAGTCGGCTGACGCGACGAATCATGTAGGCTCGGGTCGAAGGGCTCAAGATTGTTGTTTCTCGTGCACACTGACGCGACTTGCGCGTCTGCGCCAGCGCGTTGATCGAGAAGCAGCGGCAGATCATTAGTAATCCACGCGTTTCCATCTCTATTGATGCGTCAGTAATCGCGTGAAACGCTTTTCGGGAACTTCATTATCTCACTCGGTAGATAGACGACCCAAAAGAAAGGGGTCGGTGTTTGGGTTGGCATTTTGATCTTGGGAAATCCACGGCCAGTCAAACTGTGCTTCATGATCCATATCCCCGAGAGGATGGGACTCCCACGTCGACTGGAGCGACATCTTGTGATCTCAATTCTGCCGATTAATAGAGAGGTGTGCTTTCGGGAGTTTTGTCAAAGTTGTCGGGATGTCTGAGATGCGGATGAGAATAGGGGTTGGATACGCAGAAGGAAGTAGAGTAGGTTGAGGTGGATGGGAATTTGATGTGAAGGCGAAGAAAAATGGGCAGCCGACGAGATTTTGAAAAGTGAAGAAGGTAGAAGGTGCGCTCAGGAAGTGTGGATGTAGTTCCTCAGTCGTTGCTGGGGAGGGTGTGGCGATGTTTATTTAGGAGTCGGGGTTGAGCCTTAGGCACTGTGTGAGAACAGTGCTGGACTTCGCGTCTTGCTCCCATGACGGGTAAACGAATATATTCGGATGGTTCATATGTGCACGCAGCTCATCAAGACTGCTTACCTTACTTAAGTAATATTCTCAACCCGAATGATGGTAGCAAGTCACGATGCAAAAGTCAGCTCCCGGCGCTACATCGCAGCACGCTGAAGATCATTGTTGAGATACTTCCCACCATGAGCAGCGTCGCATCACCCTGAGGCCACTGCTACAGTCTCCCGGAACACTATCTCTAAGTGGTTACTTGGTCTACCGCGGATGTATCCACGGAAGGCACAGGAGACGGCCCATCAGGAGGTCGATTGGCTGTCAAGGGGCCCCCTTTTCGTTGCCCGAAGCGGACTCTTGAAGGAGCGTCTACGACCGACGACGGGCACGTAGTCTACGCGGTAGATATGATCATATCGCAAGAAACGTAACACACAAGGTGTTGATATATGTGTGGGAGAAAAGAACAACGACCTGATCAAGAGCCACGATCGAATCGTTTACAAGTTCACAGGCCCAATGCACAAGACTGACCGACGTCTGTGACTCGTCACCGGAGCTTTAGAGGCAAAGTAAGGGACTATCCATTGGAATTAGATATTTTTAGCGGCAGTACTTAAATAATGTTCCCCGAATAATCAAAATGTCGAGCAAGTTACAAACCAGGCGCGCGCCTTTTCCAATCTAGTGGTGACCAATCAGCGGCTGTCGGGCATGGGCGTGTCTGCCCTGTCGATCTTTTAGCATGACATCTTGCTGAGTCGTCAATACCAAAGACTTCAAATCAAACGCCGTCTTTCCTTTTCCATGTCTCTCTTGCTTGTCTAAGAGGCCTGCTATTCGCGGCGAAGCGTCTCGCGGCCAACGCGATTCTGTACATCGCGCTTCGCATTGATGGCCTTGTTGCCGAGTTTAAGCTGTTGCAGAAGCACCGTCAGAATATTTACCACCAACAAAGCAATGATGCCTTACCTTTCTTTCGCCAGCTGGGGCGGCCGTCGATCGATCTCCCCAGTTCTGGCGCAACAAAGAGTGAACAATCACCTTGTGATGCTGAGAGCAAAGACGGATTAGCAACTACAAATTAGACAATAGGACTGTGCGGAAAGGCTTACCCGAAGGTTATCGCAGACGGCATCCCAGCGAGATGCGAATGATGGGTATTGCTCCCATTTCGGAGTACCGCTGCTAGCCCAGTTTGGCCTCATAGTGTTTCCAGCCTGGACACTCGTGGCCGAACGCTATCAAAGAGTGATCAGCAAGATTTCAACGCGATTCAAAATCAAGCGCAACTTACCATTAGCTCCTAGCTAATAATCTCGACCTCAATGTCCCTCAATTCGTGGTGTACGGCAGCTTGAAGAAGCTTCGAAGGGCTGCTTCTCGGATCGGCGTAAGTCGTCTCGAGCTTCGTCATTGGAGAGGGCTTTTTCGGAATCTCGGTCTGTCTCTTCCTTTTACGGGACGGTTGTGCTGCCAATGTGTTCATTTCATCTTCGACAACTTTCTTTGTGACCTCATAAGCTTCCCAAGCCCGTGCTTTTTGTAAAGCAATGTCCTTCTCGTGGAAGTTGGATGTGTCTAAGATGGCTTCGACTGCCTGCTGAATGTACGCAAACATTTTGTCTCGAGTGTCTGGCCAGGTGTGATCATCGGCGGCATCAGGTGCATCTTTACGAACATGGCGGTAGTAGGCCTTCTCGACGTTCGTGGAGTGATCTATGCTACTGATAAGCTTGCGGTAAGTGAACGAGCAAGGTTTGTCAAGTTCGGTAGCAATCAATTGTTTGTGGTCGACAGGAACCTCTCTGACAATTGAAATTGCTCTGGCCCTCTTCGGAGGAGGCGCAAGAAACTCTTCAGGCTCGTTGCTGTTCACGCCTGCGTGATTTATCATGGCCGAGCCACTTCGAGAGCGTGCATGCTTCTGAGGAGGCTTGGCCTGCCCAAAAGATTCGGTGAGCACGCCTGAAGCCACAATAGCATCTCTGGAGCTGACGAGATCCTGGATGACATTGTCCACTGTAGCTGCGGACGACTGATCAAAGTAGGTCACGCAACGGAATGCGAGAGGCCACTCAAAATCCCGGTTCAGCGAGTTATATAGCAAGTAGAAGTAGAACTCGATCGGTGGAAAGCTCCGATCGCCGTTATGGAGTCGATAGGGGAACACCTTGTCTGGCGATTCGTTAGCCTGTCATCCCAACGAGCACTACGAAAGCAGGCGTACCGCAAAGAACGTCGAGAATGCGCTTCTTATCGCTTAGCGGAGCGGTGGGAGACTTCAAAAGCTCCAAGTCGTGGGTGAAAGCGTTGTTCACGCTATCTTGGAACATTCCGCTGGCAGGCAATGCTTCAGCAGCATGGCCACCGTAGTAGTTTGGGTCCGAGGAGAAACAAGGGACGTCCAAGCAGGAATCGTGGGTTCTTGACGCGAAGTGTATGTCGTTATGGGCTTGTTCACGATGTGCGCAGTCGGCATGTTCACCTAGATCCGCGCTACCAGGGACGAGATTATCCTATTCCTCGTCGATGGAATCGCTGCCTCTCGGGATATCAGCCCTAGAGTAAAGGTTAGATGACTTTTCATTCTGAACGTGGTGTTTTCACTCACGAAGGAGTCCTTCCGATGCTATATCTAGCGCTCGCGGCTTGCGTCTCTGACGCGTTGTTTTGCGTACTGAAGACGAACTCGTGTAAGAGCCCGGGGTCATCGCGGAAATATTCTCGAAAAGGTCGAACATGACGCGCTAGAAGGGCGTATGGCAATCGATACGACCAAAGTGGGATTCCTAACGTGCAGGACTTCCGGCGTGGCGAGGTAGAGGGGTTTAAGAATGGAGAAGTCTAGGAGGACTGCAATAGGAGACGCCGACGGCGAGGGATGAAGACTTAACACAATCAAAGCTTACACTCGGAAAGGGGGTAAACTATCTTCACCAGAGGCTTTGCGTCGAGGAGACTGTGATCTGTCAGGTGTCAGGAGGAAGAATTCAAGAAACTGCAAATCGCCATTGAGATTGGTGTTTGGGGACTTGTGGAAGTTAGGATGGAAGGTGGGAGAGTGGTTGCGAGGGTGTCGATGGGCAAGAGTATGGGTGAGTGTGCACACGGCGTGAGGCACTGTGTGAGAAGTCAGGGTGGTGGCGTGGGCGATAAGGAGCCACCCGCGTCCAATGATTTCGATTGGCCTTGAAGCTTGCTTTTCGCAAATATTTCGAGATCCAATCTCGGGCTCACAGGCGTCTCCCTGCATAGGCTCAGGTCTTTTACGATTCGAAAGTCAATTTGTTCCGACTACCATGACAGAAACAACATAGCGTTCAAGGAATTCAGATGTGCACAATGCTTCGTTTCATGTCTTCCAAACTGGAGGTGATACTTTAGGAACCATAGCAGATCCAACGCCAGTTCATCCGAGCAAGGACAAACAGAGAACAGAAATGTGCTTTGATCCGCTCTCCTGACTAAATAGTTATCAGGCATAGATAAACACAGCTCATCTCCTCCTAGGAAGAGAATGTTGCGAGTAATCTGATCGGATTCAAGAACGGATATTATCAACTATTGGTATGACTATCGTCCGTGTACGTCGTGAAAAACCACATTGCATATTTCTACCTCGCGTATCCCGTTGAGTACGCCACGCTCGTCACCTGAAATTGCAGGTGGATACTCGTTTGTTTCCCAGTGAATTTGCTCTGGTATATCAAATCATTGTAATTGGAGCTATGGTGACAAAGCCACTCCCATGACTGTAGTGTCGAATGCTACCAGAACCCTACTGCTGAGACAATCCCATAGCCCCTTAACAATGTAGAAGCCCTAAAGGAAACGCGGTTCATATCAGTTATCCCAGGTGCAAATGTCTCGTCATGTCTTCACACGGCTCATTTGGCCTTAGACTGGGGTCTCGCACCTGTCTTCTGACGCTTCAGCTCCGCGCGACCGAGCTCATTTTGCACATCGCGGGTGCTATTGACGGACTTGTTTCTCAGTTTCATCTAGAAGGAGCAGACATAGTCAAGTAATAAGAAATGTAAAGTCACATACCTTTCGCTCTCCAACAGGGCCAGCTGCGAGTCTGCTCAAACAATCTCCTCGTAAAGCAGAGTGAATGGTGACCTTATGATGCTTTGCGGAAGTTGGCGTTAGCATACGGCGGCCGAGTGGCATGAAAGCAAGTAAAAGAAAGAAAAGAGCCAACTTACCCGCATGTTGAAGCAGATTTGATCCCATCGCTCCTCAAAGGTGTCATACCGTTCCCATCCTGGGCAGCCATCTCCACTCCAGCGAAGCTTCAATTCCCATCCATCCTGGCAAGATATCGCGATACGCTGTCGTCTGTTAGCACAACCTTGTTATAAACAACAAGGATGTGTGCTTACCAGGAGTTTCTAGCTCAGCAGCTCTACCTCGATGTTCTTGATATCACATCGGGTTACCGTTCGGAGTAGGTGAGTGGGAGTACTTCTCGGATCCACGTATACAGCATCGAATGTGCTAAGCCCTGGGATCTTCTTCGGCATCTCTTGGCCCAGCTTTCGCTTGCGTGAGGAACCAGCCTCATCCTTGGCATCGGCTTCATTGGTGTTGCCGTGCTTGGCCTCCAGCTTCGTCAACTTTCCCAACGCGTCCTTTTTCTCCTGAAAGTCTCGCATGTCGAAAATGCCCTCGCACGTCTGCTTCACATACGCGCGGCGCTTTTCCTTTGTCGAGGGCCAAGAAGGATCCTCAACGTGGGCCGTGGAGGTTTGGCGCAAGTGCTGCAAATACGCCCTATCCAAAATCGAAGCCTCCTCGAGGTCGTCGATCAGCGCATCGTACCCAATTGTCAGGGGCTTCTCAAGTTCGGTTTTGAGCAATTGATTCTGATGGTCAGTGACACGAGAGGTCTTGGCTGACTTCCGCGTCTTCTTCTTCCCGCTCGCTGTAACCTTCTGCTGGCAGGTAGAGACAGCCGAGCGCAAGGATTGGTGATATTCAGTGATTGTTGCCGAGTAGTGGTCGGCCTCCTCCACTGTCAGTTGGCCAAACCAGGCGGCACACTCTGCACCGAACTTCTTGACATCACGGCTCGCCTCGTTGTAAAAAAGCGTTTCGTAGAACGCCACGCAGGGGAAAGAACGTGCACCGTCGCCATATCGATATGGGAGGATTTTGTCTGTTTACATGTCAGATGGCGTCCACTGTACGCGTCAATCTCGCGTCGAACATACCAACAATCACAGAGAACATCAACTTCTTCGTCTCTAAAGAGGTCTGATCGCTCTGTAGCTGTTCTAAGCGACGAGAGAAAGCGTCGAACTCTGCACAACTGCCGTTGTGATGTTGCAGACCACCAGGGTCACCGTATAGGTCAAAAAGGGGTAAGTCGGGCGACTCTCGGGCAGCAAGGTCGGGTGCCACTTCGGCTCTGCCAGCTTGGCCCGCATCAGCAAACGGGAAGGAGAACTGGGGGCGTAACTGGACCCTCTCAGGCATATTTGGGTCTTGATAGACTCCCTCGCCGTCTATAGCCTGCTGGTCGTTCAAGTCGAGGAGCCCATGAATATAATTGTCGGCGAGAAGGCCGTCGCCACGCCCACTACAAACTCGTCAGTCGGTTTTGCATGCGATTGTGGACGAAACCACGTATCGAACTCACAGATCTAAGGCATCCACTCCATTCAGAGTTGCACTAGTGCGATAAGCGTCGTCCGGGCTCGATGAGACATGGACGGCCAGCGAGGATGCATTCAAAGCTTCGTGGTTGATCTGCCGCGACATTTTGTTCTCGCGATGTCTTTGGGGCGTGGAGGCGATGATCAAGAAGAGTTCAAAATAAGACCTGAGACGGCTAGGTATAAAAGATGACCAAAACCTTGATCCCAGTCCGCGTTGTGGAAAGAAGTTGGGAAGTTGGGAAGGGGGAAGAATGGTTGCTGGGGTTTCCCTGGGCGACGAAGCGGGTGTGGGTGTGAACACAGTCTCAGGCACTGTGGGAGACGAGAATTGCCGGGTGGCGGAACCACCGCTCAGCCACATCTAATGCTTCCCAAAGGCCGTGAAGTATGCTTCTTGAACTTATCTCTCCTTTTAGACTCGACATTACCGTCTGCACGAGCTTTATGACCAGAAGACGTGTCGTGTTGTCAGGCCAGGCCAGTTCTAGTGGCCGAGGCCTCGGCCGGAGAGCACGCTCCCATTGGATTGCAAGCTGAAGGAAGTCACAACAACAACAAATAAATAGGTTCAAGGCTTAAATGAAACATTCAGATGATTGTAAATCAACACTATTAAAACGTGAATGATAGCCTCGTTTGGGAAGTCGCCTACGGCAGAGTTATGCCAAAACGCGATATTCGTGTCCATCATCAGTTATGCCGCCCTTGAACGGCGATTGTTCCACGTAGAGAAAGCCTTGTAAGTAAATCAAAACCCTTGTTCAAACTTGTTATATTACAATGCGTAGGGATAATCCTTTGTTGATAATAAAGAAAGTCCAACGGTTTACGTGTTTCGACATCTTTACTTTCACAACAGGGATCAGAGGTGCATTGAACGTGGTCAATGAGCCCTCGATCGTGTCTTGATCGAGTTCTTTTGCTTTGGATTTCTCTTGATAAGTAGCCTTCGGCAGTCTCATTCTGTTCGGAAGACCCGTTGAGCCTCTGCCATTCAACATTAATCGACTCCCTTCATCACGCTTGGCGTCAAGCCGGCGCCTGTCGTCCTTGGTTTCCATGCTTACACCGTAGTAATTCCTTCCATTTGAGAGAAACAGAAGCCAGGTGGGAAGGCATCCGGGAGGTTTACTTCCAGCTCCGCTCTCAGTACCGCAATCCGGCGCATTTACGCGCTCTGCGGGTGTAGCACGCAGTAGTTGATCAGCTTGATTTTCTGTAAATTGGACGCTGTTAGTACCGTTGGAAGAATAGGGATTGATTGTGACATGCTTATGACAAGAAATATAAGGGCCCCTGGTTGGATGTGCTGCTCGTTGGTTGGGCACTGCGCAGTCTGGATGTTGATTATTTCACAGGAGGGGTGATGAAACAGGGTCTATCATCTCCCTCAGTACAAAACTATGCTCAGGGGGGTTCATCAGTCCAGGGATGATTATGAGTGGCTTTCAAACAACCGCGCCCAAAGCCGGAAATGACCAAGCTGTTGCTTCTGCTGAAATAATTTGTAGAAACTCCCGAGGTTGTTTCAACGGAACAATCGTTAGTCAAACTCAAAATGGCAATGGCCATCTATGGTAAACGAGTTCCAGCTTCGTTGATGTGTTTGGCTCCCTAAAGTGAGAGCTTCCAAGATCAAGTTTGCGAAAGCCAAAATAGTGACAAAGGGGACATATGATGAATTGTATCCTCAAAAATACGACGCGACTCGTGATGTGGAAGCGGCCCCAGTTCCATATCTCATCCAACTAATACGCCAGATTTTCTGATCCTGCGCAGGGTATGAATACGTAATACGGAGGCTTCAGCCTGGCGCTGGGCGTACGGCAACTTTAGTCTTCCATATGCTCGTCCACCACGTCTAGTGCGGCAGCCTTCTTCTTCGTGATGTTTTGCCATTCCCGGCCTAAGCGACTCTCCTCGTCTCTCTTGGCATTCAGGCGGCGATTGTCCGTCTTTGTCTACGTCAATGGTTAGCAAAGCCATAAAAGGCTTGTTTCCGAAGCTGAGCAAGTGTGGCGTACCTTCTGTTCGGCTTGTGGGGCCGCAGTCAGTCGTGCCACGTTGTCTGGGCGTAAGGCCGAATGAATGAGCAGTCCATTTGTCTGCAAGAATAAGCTGTTCATGCGAGATTCAAACGCATGTGGTTGACGGAGAACCAACTTTGAGGCCGCGGCAAATCTCGCGCCATCTATCTGCGAAGGAGTCATACTTCTCCCAGGCGTACGCAGTGTCGCCTCCCCACGGAGCCTTCATTGTGAATCCCTGCTGGTTTCCCTTGGCGGTATACTGCAATGGTATCATTAGTGGGCTGTCTTCATTCGGCGCTGTCAACCTTACCAAGAGTTTCTAGCCCAAGTATTCCGCCTCGATGTCTTTCAGTTCATGACGGAGAATAGCCTTGAGCTGCTCTTTAGGCGACTTGCTTGAGGCTGTGAGAACTGCCTCGACGGGATTGAGCTTTGGAATCTTCTTTCCCATTGTAGGGGTCTCGCAGGCTGCTTTATCGGTCAGCTTCCGCTTCTTGGAAGGACGTGGTTCATCTTCGCCGTCGTTGGTCTGTTGTTGCGACGTCGAGCTGTCGATACGCGCTTTTTTCTCCAGCGCAGATGTTTTCTCGACAAAGTCACTGACATCGTAGATTGCCATGACAGCCTGTTCTACGTATGCCAATTCCTCCTGCGTGGTGGAGGGCCATGTGGGGTCTGCATCCTCGGCATTGCTCGATTTCTCATGTCTAATGTGAGTGATGTATGCATCCGAGAGCTCTAAGAACTCCTCCGAGCTTCCGATGATCTTTCGGAACGTCATGGTGGGCTCCCTAGTCAGCTCTTCCGACAAGAGCGGATGTTGGTGATCAACAATGGAGGCAGACTTTGTTTTTCTCGATCGCTTGGGTGGCGCAATCGGTCGAGGTTGGTCCTCAAGGTCGCTTCGCTCTCGGCCCACATTATCGCGAGCTTTCAGGACGCGTTCGATGCAATTGTCGGCCTGCTCGATAGTCAAGGTGTGGAACCAAGCCACATAGCGCTTCACAGGGAAAGTGATGTTTTCAAGATCTACTTCGTTCTGGAGCAGAATGTCGTAAAAGCTCTGAGGTGGAAAGATGCGTGGGGTACTTGAGCTCGGTAGGGCAGCACTCGATCTGATCCTGAGAGTTAGAAATCCTTTGTCGTGTGATACATCTCTAGTCTCCCCCACGGGAATCGGATGATTTACCGCAGACAATGTGAAGTATTTCTTTCTTCTCAGACGACGGAGTCTCGTTCATGAAGAGACGAACGTAGTCGGCTTCAAAAGCTAATACATCCGCAAAGCTAGACCCAGGTGGTTGGAGGAGCTGGCATTCCTGTTCGAACCCCTGCTCCAAGCTCCCCGTGGTTGTAGTCAGGGAAGGGTCGATGAAGTTTGGTAGCATAGGTTGACTGCCACCCAAATTGGCTGCGTTGACGCCAAGTCTATCCCAAGGATAGTTGGCGTTTTCGTTCCAATTCACATCTGCTCTTCTGCGGCGATCCTTGCCAGTACATGCGTCATTGATTGGACTTGAACAATTAAGCCAACCCACCTAGAAGCATCTCCCGCTGAACTTTCAACTTGTCCGAGAGAGGCTGCAATCCCTTGCCCCAAGTCTCTCGGAAGCGCCGGGTCGTCTATCGACCGAGACTTCACATGGCGCGACATCATCCTCTTGTTGCGGATGTGTAAGATGACCACGCGTCGAAATTAACGGTTCTCAGGACACATCGAAGCTGGTGTGGAAGCGGACAGAAGGAAGGGGATAAACGATGGTTTCTGCTAATTTAGCAGAGGTGGACTCTTGCGTTTACGAAGCTGCAAGGGAAATCTTTGATACGAGACAATCTGTGCGTGTGAAGTTTGGTAGTTGGAAGAAAGCAGAAGAGAGGTGAGAGGTGGGTTGTCAAGGAGACCACCTCAGGCCAGTGTGGGTGGGTCCCGACCACGCGACGCAGCCCCTCGTGACTAAGGCGCCCTGATCTTGGCCCCCGAGAATACATCAACAGGTAAAGGGTGTATAAAATTGAAGCTGCGGTGCCTTGGTGCCCTTTGGCCTTTTCGGGGAGTCCGCAGGTTCATCCTGTCGTGATCTGGCCATCAGCCATCCCAGCAAGATCCTGTCAAACACCAAATCGTCGGTTGATCCCAAGTTTATTATCATGGATAGGAAAGCCTCAAGCTGATCTAACAATAAACGGTCAGACATGAATGGCTTGGGATCTACTTCAGCAAGATGCGCGTAAGGGGTGCTGCCGAAGGGTCGTCGAGATTAGACGCAGTAGGAGAACCCGGATATGAGGTGCTTTGCTGTGTAGACGAGGTCACTGTAGGCCTGGTTCATAGTGTGGTAAAGGAACAATCGATCTCCTTGACCATGGAGTTTCATTCTGGCATATAACGATTTCATCGCTAAGTAGGCAAGTAAAGATTCAGAATCCACGCTTCCAAACGTGTTTCATAGCAATACTCGCCGATGGAAAGAACGACGCCTATCTGCTGTATGCTCCTTGAAAAATCTCCGATTAATCCTCGTGTTCAGGGAGGAAGGGTCTCTTGGTTCCGGAAACGAAAAGCAAAGCCCCATGTCTTTCGCACATGTTGCTGCGCCGTTTGTTTCTGCTCGCTTTCCCGACGGGTCTGTTTCGGCGCGGTTTATGAAAAAGGCCAATGATCCTCGTCCTTTGATCCAAACATAATCTATGACATGCGCTCTGGATCCAATCTCGTACCATCTACCACCTTAATCTAAGTACTCGTCTACTGTTCCACCATGCCGGCCTTACTGCTTTTGATGACTCGTCTACCAACACGACTCTCTTCGTCGCGCTTCGCATTGAGCACGCGATTGCTTGCTTTGGCCTTGTGAACGAAAGATATTAGCGTTTGAAGAGAAGCCTGATGCAAGGAGTCTGTGAGACAACATACCTTCAGCTCTGTCAAGGGAGCCGACGCCATTCGCGCAAATCAATCCGCTTGGACGAGCGAATTGAGGAGTTGCTTGTTTGTCTATTCAACAATGATCAATACAATTGGCTGGCAGCCGGCTAGTCGAAAAGCACGTACCTTCAACATTAAACAAATCTGATTCCAGCGCTCTGCGAAAGAGTCGTAATTTTCCCAGACGCGGGCTGTCTTGCCACCCCAAGGTGCCTTCATTGTGAACCCTTCTTGCTGCTTCTGAGCCTGACGCTGAAGGTAAATCAGTTAGCAATGGTATCCGAAGGTGTTTCCACATTGTCCTACTTACGAGTAGCTTCTAGCAGACCAGTTCAGCCTCGAAGTCTGTGAGGTCGTAGTGTATGATGGCCCTTAGCTGTTTCTGAGGGGTGCTCTTCGGGTCGGCAAGGGTCGCCTCGGTAGTGTTGAGCTTTTCAAGTCGCTTCGTGGCAGCGGGCCCGCCGTGGTCAAGCTTGCGCTTCTTGGATGCACCCGTCTGGCATTCTGCCGGCGTCTCCTGGGTGGCGGCATTGGTTTCGTCGATTCGAGCTTGCTTTGCCAGCGCGGCAGTCTTCTCGGCAAAGCTGGCCGTGTCAAAGATGGCTGCAAAGGCCTGGCCAATGTAGCCATACTGCATCTCTTGCGACACAGGCCAGGTCGCGTCGGTCTCAGCAGGGCTCTCCAGCACATCCTTTCGAATGTGGTTGTCGTACGCCTCTTCTAGTTCGTCAAAATGCTCCATGCTACGAATGAGGCTGCGATAGCCCATGGTCGCAGACTTGGCCATTTCGCGCGCAATGAGGGGCTGCTGATGATCGGTGATCTCGGACGCTTTTGCCTTCCCCTTGCTGGCCGGAGCCGTCTGCTTCGGGAAGTTCACGTGTCTCAAATCAGCAGGGCTCGGAGTGGTCAGCGACTTGCGAAGCTCAAGGAGCTCATCAATGCGAAGATCGGCATCGCTAGGGGTCATGGAAAACCATTTAGCACAACGCGTCGAAAAGACTCTCAAACTCGACAGCAAAGATTGCCGCGCCGTTGTCGTTTTCCGAGTAGCGTTCGAACGGCTGCTGTGGAAGGAGGACCGGCATTTTCTGGTGCATAAGGTTCTGCGCGTTGAAAGCATCTGCGACTGATTGAGGGATCATGGAGTTTGGGGAGATGTTCCTGTTCTGCTCCTCCACTTCCCACCTGTATGGCATGTCTGGCTGGCCTTGCGCCAAACAAGCAGAAGGGTTGATGGGGATGTCAGCGATTTCTTCCGAGATCAAAGTGGCAGGGCCATGGCCAATGTAGGCATTAGATGGGCCTGTCATCTTCGTATGTCGGCGTGATGGAATGCTTTCCGGAACTCGATAAATAACACTGATGGTGATGAGTCAATCGATTGTCGTTGGTTGAGATATAACAGTGTTGCGAAAGAGGAAAAGAAGCTTTCTGTTGTAGGATAAACGTCTGTGGGAGTTAAGTTGTTGCTGAGTTGGCAACGCAGGTCCCGAGCAGGTTTTTGTGGTGGGAAGGGTGGCTGAGGCATCAACCCCTTTTTGCCTGAGTCCAGCGCAACCCATCACGTAACCTGCTTTGCGTCTTCAAAGCGTTTTGATGAGTATGATATACAGTTCAATTCCTGATTTTGGGAACACCGGAACCTTTCAGTGAGGTCAGATGCGTCGTCAGATATGTGGCATTTGCGATCGACGTGCCTGAACCCCGTCTGTTCCATGTGGGACCATTTTCGGATTTCGAATTACTACGACTTTACGCCTCAAGCCTTTGCTTTGGGGCTTCTCCGGTCATTTACGAAATTTCCTTAGTGTGGAAGACGGCTTCTTACTTCCCTCTAGATTATTTTCTGTTAGTATAGGTACTAGTAATGCCTTCTAACTAGTTAGTATAAGGGGTTATAAAGTATAAGTAAAAAAGTATTATATAACGTATATGCATAGCGAGTCGCCCATCATAGCGAGCCGCCCACCTTTCACTACCCTCCAGCCATTTGTGTAAGTCAATTAAGCCACATCGTACGAAATCAATTGAAACTGCTCATCACCCTCTTCTTCAGAGGTCTCCC